GCTAGAAAACTGCAATCAGTGCACCCCTACTGTAAATTTGTGCAGTGGTTCATGAGAATTTTTTCTTACAGTACAAACAAATGAATATGTGCATACTCATGAAGCATGTGACAACGCTTCTGAGCTTGAATTTGTTAGTTTTATTAAAGGGTAAGCAATGCATGTTTTAGAGGATGGCTTCAAGTTTGTTTTATTTTAAAGAAAAGAGCAGCTTTTATTGGCATTTCTGTTGATTTCCACTCTGTCATCATGACACTATGTCAGTGGGTCATTATGTTACTTGCTTATCTTTGAAACATATTAATCATTACAATAATATATTTCCTCATACTTTTATCCCGTAATACTGTGCCATAAATGTGTCTATCAACACTCAACTGTGACAAACACCTCTTTTGATCTAATTTCACACTGCATAAGCGTTAGGCAAGGACAAATTCAAGGATACAATAAAGGTCCAGCATTCCTTGAAAGAATGCATATCACCACTTTTTATGACAGACCAATGTTTTTCAGTCAGGTCATCTGGACAGTTTCTTTTTTTTTGGGCTGAAACGTTTCGCCTTCGATCCAGAAGGCTTCATCAGTCAAGGAAACACACAACAAAACTCATTCTTCCCCCAACAGCTTACTTCGAAGTGGAACAAACCAGTTTTTTTGGTGCTAAGATGGTCTCTTTGTCACGCCCCCTCCTCCATTGCCGGCCCTCTTCCTTGTTGACATTCGTGTCAAACTGGTTGAAAACAACAAAGTCCATGCTCAGTAATCCAGGTATACAATCCAACATTTTTCAGTCAGATCATCTGGACAGTTTCTTTTTAGGGGAAGCTGTTGGGGGAAGAATCAGTTTTGTGTTGAATGAATGAATGTGCTTTAATGGTCAAATCAGCTGCATTTCGCCAGGGCGGCACAGCGAAATGAAGCTGATTTGACGGTAGCTCTAAGCAAGCAGAATGGCGGTAGCAGGCTATGGCAAGCTGACTGTGTCATTAATAGCCACTTTTACCCATGACATGATACAACGACATGCCATACTGCTCGAGTGCCATCTAGCGGCTTAAAATGGTAATGTTCAATATTTTCAGTCAGAATGAATGAAAACGGTCATATCTCAGCCAAAAATTGGTTTATAAATATATGTGGGGGGGAACATAAATACGTCACTTTGGCGTTTAAGTTGCAGGGCATGCAAATTATGCAAAAGAACGTGACTTATAGGGCGAAAAATATGGTACATCAAATTTTAGCTGAATATTTGTAAAATAGCTAAACAAATCGGCCAATGGAAAATGTTGCTGTGATACACAAATTACTTAGTTTAAAGTCATTAAAGAACAAAACTGCAAACCATAAGATGTAAATTTACCTTTCTGCCACAGCTTTATTTCAATTTTGGCGTGAGTGGCAGAACATTTAAATACTTTTATTTTTACCCATCTCATTCCAAATGAAAGGCAGCTCTTTCCTCTAATGTGGTTTTTTTTTTCTTCCTTTTTCTGAGGAACAGTAGCTTTTGTGTCAGATGTTTTAAAATACAGAACATTAATTAGAAATGGGCAGCAGGAACAGCTTTCAAAAGTTGCTTTTGGATTTGTCAGGGCTGGCAATCTGGTAAATTTGATTTTGTTCGGTCCCAAAAGGGCCCTCTGTGTGACTCCAGTCGTGCTCTGCAATTAATGAAGACAATTTTTTATCTGCTGCTGGGCATGAACCCCTTCACAGCAGTAAGGTTGCTTTTGTGTTGACCTAATAAAAAATGTGAGGTATTGTTTACCACTTGGGTCGACTCAGGTGAGATTTAAAAGATCTATCCAAAGTCACTCTGCCTCTGTGTTGGTTTCTTTTAAGGGACTGCTTCTTATGCAAATGTACATTTATTCAACTCTACAGTATAAATGCCCTTTTGAAATTGCATAAAAAAGAAAATACAAAAAAAAAGAAAAGCTGTAAAACGTTTACTGCAAGTTGTAAGTAAAAAAACCTCATGTCCTTATTCCACGTCACATCAGTTTACAATAGCTGGCTCTGCCTCAGGAAGTCTAAATCACAGCACATACCAGAGTTGTGATGGCAGAGGCTGATTACGTGTCAATTAAAGAGCTTTATGGTTTCTGACACACGGCCTTTGCTAGAACACAGATGCTACTGGGAATCAGTAACCGTGTAAGAAAAGCATTCAACCAGCAGATGATCACATGCTTTATTCATGCATGTGTCCCATGACTGCTGATCATGATCAATTGGTCTGTATAATGTCATTTATGGCTTGTAAAAGTCTGCTGAATCATGGTGTATTTTATTATTGAAGCCTATAGACATTTAGATATATTTGAGAAGCTATCAAAGCTAATCTATCTAATCAAACTTTCAAATTCAGCTAAAACACAAAGTGTTGCTTTTTTTTTTTAAGCAGTCCTCCGTTCTTGCATTGAATTTAACACCATTTTTGTTTCTCTTGCCGTAGCGCATAGGTGAGCAAATTATTTCATAGTGGGCAATTTTGATCTAGTGAATGACATTGATGGACCAAAAAATTACAATAAAACAAGGGTGCACTATTCTGCATCTCTTATATACACCATACCATCATCTGCAAAAAAGGTAGCTTTTTTCATAAGACAAACTAAAGCTAGTATTTGTTGCATTTTTGAAGATTCTTACATGTTTTGTGGGAAAATTATCTCAGGCAGATATGCCACAAGTCTCTGAACTTTGATTTTTATTAGCATTGTTGCCATTTTTGGTAAACTAAACAATACTTTCTTAAGTGCCTATAAACTAACACTTTTGACATTTACAATTCGTAATTATTGACTAAAATAGTAGTTTTTTTTTTTTCCTCCAGCCCATCATTCTTTGTCTGTAATTGTCATTGTTTACCTTAAAACTTGGCAAAAAACATTTAAACATGTTTTAATTAAGAAGTGCTCTTTTTTGTAAGCTTGTAAAATAGACCTTGTTTTGACATTCCTAAAAAATATATTTTCAAAATGCCAGTTTTTCATGAATTTTTCTGTTTTATTTTTGTATGATGATGTCAAGGGTTGGATTGAAATGGCTCAAGAGCCCATTCTGGCTTTATTGTGCCCAAGGGTGTCCTAACGTAATACCTTTTTGCAAAGTTGGACAGGTCTCATTTGTTTGCGTACAACCATTAGTTTGCTTTTACAACTGTGAACTACTCTGTTTTAATACGTTCCGCCTTTTTTCCTGTATGTAAACAGATCATTTCACTATTTTTGTTTTTTTTAATAAATTTAGGATTTTCACAGGCAGACTACAGCAGAAAACTGAATCATAGCAGGTCAATCAGCCCTGTTCACACGCATAAAGCGATGCATTAAAAGTTTATTCTGACAGTATAATAACTGCTTACTGCTTATTTTTAGGTTGGACAAAAATCCAACCATGAACAATTGTTAGATTTGTTGATCTACTAGAGAACTTGAGGGATAAGGGGTAAACCTTAAAGTTAAAAACTCCAATTTGAGCCGAGGTCACCAAACCTTTTTCATTTGCTTGATTAATATTTGTCCAAGTTTTATTGTATTAAATCCACAAATGGCATGAAAACTCAAAGACTTAACCTCACATTGGCTCTAAATGAAAAGTCAGAGGGTTACCAAAAACAGTTTTTTATTATTCAGTAAATGTAAGTCTTCAGTTTGGACCTGCAGACAAAATGGCTGCAAAAGCTTTAAAGTTTGTATTCTTTTCCATTTTTAGAGTCCTCCTTTTCTCCTAGGTACCATCAGGCCTTGCTCCGTGGCCAGAACTCTTGCATTGGTTCATTGTCCATATATAGATATTCTCCTAGTTTTCTTATTTCTTTAGCATTCTTTGCCTTCACTTGTCCCCAAAAAAAACAAAATATCAAACCGCAATACATTATCACAAAGTACAGTTGGCAAACTATAACAACTGAACGTACTTGGACCTGTTGCATGACGATTAAAACTACATATCTGTCGGTTTAAATTTGAATGATTAAAAAAATGGGTTTAAATTTAAATTACAGTCTTGCATAGATATTTCAACAATCCTGAGATGAGATAAAATGCGTATAAACTGTGTCTGACTTATTCCACATTTCTCCTCTAATGCCGCAACATGGGAATATTCATCCAAACATTACCACAGAACCTTGTCATTGGCTAACTTGTGCTCTCACAAAAGGATTTATCAGTAATTACGTATTGAATTACTGTTATTATATTACCTTAATTTTCTTAAAAATAAAGCATGATGTAACTTGTAACTCTGTTACACGTTACTATACAGATGAATGATTCTTAAGTTTAAAGAAGATTTACATAAACAAATCACACAGTGACTCACAGTACTTCCACTTATGCATTTTTATTTTTTTTGCTTTTGTTTCTGATGAAAAATGTTAATGAAAGTGACACAAAATAAGTTGCAAATAGACATGGTTGTGTTTTAGACAAGCAGTTTTCAATAGTGAAATATTTTACTGACTTTTTTTTTTCATTCAGCCTTTACTTATACGGATTAATCACAATGAGCCTCGGGGACTCATTTACAAGTGAGACCTGTTTAGACAGACTAAAAGTGGAGAAAAATGACAACAGGGTGAGGAGGCAAAAAAAAAAAAAAATCATAACTGCTACTAAGCCCTGGCTGAGGCAGAGTGCCAGAAATTGAAAAAAATACCCCGCACATAAAACCACACTGACGCAGACATGCCGCAGGGGGAAGGGGAGGCGGCAAAGACGGTGAGATTGGCCATGAACACTCCTTACTCCTACAGATATAATATTAGCAGTAAATTTGTCAAACAGAAACCCAGAAATATTGCTTGTTCAGATGTTTTTTGAGGAATAAAAAGCACTTCAAACTTTTGCTATGATCTACCAAAAAGAACACAGAAACTTCTACATGTATATCTCTGTTATATCTCTCTCCATCCCAGGAGCGCAGCTGACCACCTCATCTTCTTCTTCTTCTCACCTTGCTGCCTCCTCTTCCTCTACAAGACAATGGAGGAGGACTCCCAAGTCATGGAAGCCCTACTGGCACCACCACTCCTCTTGGAGCGGCGGGTTCACCAGCGAAAGTCAACAGTTTCAGTCCTTAAATCCAATCTGAACCAGAGCATGACGTGCTCTGGGCGAAGAGTCCGATCCACCCTGACAGGGTTCTTTCCTGTGGTGCGCTGGCTTCCAAAGTACAAACTAAAAGAGTACATTTGGGGTGACATTATGTCTGGGCTGATTATAGGTATCATCTTGGTACCACAAGCCATTGCATACTGCCTATTAGCAGGTGTGCAGCCCATCTATGGCTTGCTGACCTCATTCTACGCTAACATCATCTACTTCCTCATGGGGACATCCAGACATGTGTCTGTGGGGATCTTCAGCCTTATGAGTCTCATGATCGGACAGGTAACAAACAGTTATTATGTCTGGGACTTAAATGCACGTTGTTCCTGGATGGTGAACTCACGACTACCATCAAGCTGTCATTAAATGCCTCTTTTCATGCTGATTAAGAAAACGTATGTAAATTGTTTCAGCCCACACTGTGAGTTTAGCTAAATCTTTGGACTGCAACCACACAGCTAATGATTTGTCTGATTACTGTTTTGCCATAAGAAGAGTTTTAACAATGATAGTAGGGAACAGGAAAATACTGTGGTACTGATATATTTGACGGATGGTGAGTTGTTGCAGGACTTGGACAAGTGGTGTGCTGATTACTAATGAAAAGTAGATGGTATGACCAAAATACCAATCAAACAGCCTAAATCTATAACAACAAACTGTGGATTTCTTTATCTTTTTACAGTTAAATTTAATCCCTGAGCTGTTTGATAAATATCTGCTGTTGCCGTATCTCTAGGTGGTGGTTAGGGAAGTGTTCCTGGCTGGTTTTGACCTCAATGAAGACTCCACACCATCTGGACCTGTTGTTTTAAACGATACGCGGGACACTAACCTGACGGATGACACTGTGCTCACTGTGGAGCTGATGGGTGTGCAGTGTGGGAAGGAGTGTTATGCCATCAGCGTCGCTACTGCTGTCACATTTATTGCTGGTGTCTATCAGGTAAAAGAATGAGCAGATTATGACTATGATATATCACAGCTCCACACTTTGGCTCCCATAAAACTACTTTTATGTACTTTTTAAACTTTCCTATGAAAGCAATGAAAAAAGTGTTAAATAAGTCGAACAAGTTGATTCCAGACTTATCGAAACAATCTGATGGACTGTTTTCACGCACTTTTCTAAATTAAATTTGCACTTAGTAAAACTGCTTTTCAATTCACTTCAGTAGTTTAATATCATTATAAAGATGAGATAATGTTGGAGCATCCACAACATTACATATTCATAAAGTATCTCCAGCAATAATCCCAGAATGAGTGTACCCAATTAATAGTACATAACCACCAAAATATAGCCCAAAATAAAATGAATAGATCCACAAGATTAAAATGTATATGAAATACAAGTCTTTACCATTCTCCCCCATGGAAGGGATCGGGGAGGTGTGCTGCAGCAATGCAATGCACAGTTTATAGTTATTTTAGGTGCAAAATCAGGAAGGGTAGAAAAGTGTACTGAGGGTGCTGCAGCAATACAATACAATTTCTAGAATTGTTTATAATTATGTAAAGTATTAGACGCAGGAAGTTGCTTCTGTTCTGAAGATTACTTTATTTAAATTTGAAAGTACATATTTAGACACTGTTTATGTTAGGATACTTAAGAGTATAACTGTAAATATGTTATACTAAGATAAACTGGTCTTATAGAGCTAGAGCGTTGCTATTTGCAATGAAATCTATTGTTATATTAAAACAGCATACTGCATTGTCTGCAGCCTATGTTTCATATTTATTCTCTTAACAAAATTAGAATGTTCTTCAGCTATAAAGCTTTTTACACTGACGGTAATCAAAGTTAACAGGAGTAAATATGACACTAGCTTGAAGGGTTGTTTGTCTTGGACTTAAATGGTGCAATCTAAGACAAAAGCACCCCAAATGTGTGATGTTGACCGTCCATAATTTGATTAAATTAAATGCCAGCCTGACATGCATTTTACTTTAATATCGCCAAGACTAAACCTTTAATTTTTAGAAACTTTTAAAACCAGTACCTTTGATATTTGCTTCCAGTTCTTCTTGGTGTTGTGTCTTTTTGAATCATGTTCTGCCTCCACCATGCAATGAGGTGTCAAGATGTCATGTTGTTTCTGGTTGTTCACTAAGACCAGGTCATGTTTGTGTCAGTCAAGTAAATGTCACTCCCTACTTTCACCTCATTAAGCATCCATCTTTGAAATTGCACCTTTTTTCCATGCTTCTTGATACATCGTCTGCAGCTAATCACAACTGTTCACCCTCAAGGCAACTGGAACACTAAAATCCATGTTTTTATATTTCCTGTAAAATCAAAAATTACAAAGGTTAAAGTCTGTTTGCTCCAGTTTGGTCAGTTTGAGTGGCCTGATCAAGCACCACACAAAAGCTCTATAAAATATGATTAAAGCATTTCAGTACAAGCAAAATTTAGTTTCTGTTAGGGATGCACGATATTATCGCCATGGTATCGGTATCGGATGATATTAGCGTTAAAGTTAAATATCAGACATCAACTATTCCATCAAAATAACTCACCGATATAAAAGACGCTGTTTTTGTATGACAACCCAGTGACAAGGATGCCTGCAGCACTAGCACAATGTGATGACATCACGCGCGTCTACCTGATCTGATCACGGCGGAGAGGAAGAAGTCAAAATGTCGGCGGTGTGGAATTTTTTTTGTTGTTGAGGATATTGGATTCCGAATATTTTTGGACTACGTTAAGCCTCGTTACATCGTCCCCAGTCAGAGATATTTTTCCGACATAGCCTTACCCAAGTTACAAGCCATTTCTGAAGTCATTGAGAAGTTAATAGCCCTTGGGTGAGTTTTACTAGACATTTGGACGTTAAGTGTCAGCCCCGTTAGCATAATTAGTCTTACGGCACAATGAATAGACAAAAACTTTGAACTTAAAAAGGCTGTCCTTCATGCACAAGAGTGCAGAGGATCCCACACTGCAGCTAGAAACCCAGAACAAGCCTCCACAAGTGAGACAGCATCGCAGGTGACCAATACTAATAAAGAACATTTAACACTTTTCATTTAAAATAAGTTAAAGTACAATGCATATGGCTGTTACTGAATATATGTCACCAGCTCTTACAGCTGTTACACATTTTTTGTAGCAAATAAGCCTAAATAAGAGGGCTATGTTCTGACAAAGGAACGTATATTAAAAATATCGGTATCGGCTATCGGCCAAATACATTTTAACATATCGGCATATCGGATATCGGCCAAAAATCCAATATGCGCATCCTAGTAAATGCTAGATGTGTTGTAAACAACTAAAAACTGTTTAACGGCGGGGGGGGGGGGTCATAAATGCCTTTGAGTATGCCAACAAAAGTATTTTCTTATTATTATAATAATAATTATTATTATTATTGTTATTGTTGTACTTAATTGTTCTCTTGTTGTGTCATCCACTGCTATTTTCTTTTTCTGTCATCCTTGTCTCCTCTTCCCCTCCACATCTCATTTTCAATTTTTAGATTTTGATGGCTGTGTTCCGGCTCGGATTTGTCTCGGTGTACCTTTCGGGGCCCATGCTTGACGGTTTTGCCACGGGAGCCTCTATCACCATCCTGACAGTGCAAGCTAAATACCTCTTGGGTCTAAAGATTCCTCGTTACCAGGGCTACGGCACAGTGGTCGTTACCTGGATCAACATCTTCGCCAACATTCACAAGACCAACCTGTGCGACCTCATCACTAGTGCTATCTGTATCACCATATTGGGTCTGTCATTCTTCTATTCTCAATATACACCTGTCATTCACTGATGCATGATATTTTTTTTTAACGTGATGGCATGCAACAATTTTTATTACAGTGGCGGGGAAAGAGATCCAAGACCGATACAAGGACAGACTAAAGATCCCGCTACCAACAGAGCTGATTGTAGTAGCGGGAGCTACACTGGCCAGCCACTTTGGAGAGTTTAATACCAACTACCACTCCAGTGTTTCCGGTCACATTCCCACAGGGTTCATTCCTCCTCAAGTGCCTGCCTTCAGTTTGATGCCCCGAGTGGCTCTGGATGCTATTCCTTTGGCAGTCATTAGGTAATGTACTTTTATATTCACAACCTGTGTTCACTTGATATTGATCGGTCTCATATCTGGTAATTACTAACACAACATAGTGGCTGGATTACCTTCAGGTTGAGATATCACATGCCCCAAATTGGAGATTTGATTGCAATTTCTTTTCAAACTACACATATACTGGCACTAATGCAAGTTTATTGTTTTTGTTTGGGTTTTACTCCAAGTAATATCAGTGTGACGAGACAAAATCCATGTTCACATCAGCCATGAAAGGATGCACACCTGACTATGTGAGAAAAAAAAAAAAAACTTACTTCACCTGCTCTACCTGTTGTTACAGTTTTGCCTTCACTGTCTCGCTGTCTGAGATGTTTGCAAAGAAAAATGGCTACACGGTCCGTCCAAACCAGGAGATGCTGGCCATCGGCTGCTGTAATGTTGTTCCCTCCTTTTTTCACTGTTTCACCACCAGTGCTGCACTGGCAAAAACCATGGTGAAGGATTCAACAGGCTGCCAAACACAGGTGAATTTTGGATTACACCATTTACAGCTCCGTGGAGCAATTTCCAGAACATTTATTTGCTTTGCAAGTTGGATACAGATGTGAGTTAGACCGTGATGGCATGTGTTTTTAAATTGTATTTATGTTGCAACATTTAACTGCGTTTATATACGTCAATGATAATTCGCAAGTGGCCCTAGATTCATCCATGTTTGTTCCCCAAATTAAAAAAAAAATTAAAAAAAATTAAACTGTTACTTATGTACAAAACTGTATTATTTGTATGTGAAGATTCCAATTAAACTGTTTCCTCTTGCTTTTTTCCACATCTTGTCCCCCCAAGTTATCAAGTCTGATCAGTGCCCTGGTAGTCCTCCTCGTCCTCCTCTTCTTCGCTCCGTTCTTCTCTGCTCTCCAGAAATGTGTCCTTGCTTGCATCATCATCGTTAGCCTTCGGGGGGCACTGAGGAAGTTCAAGGATGTTCCAGAGAAGTGGCGTGCCAGCCGGAATGACGCCGTTGTTTGGCTCGTCGCCATGTCAGCCACAGCTCTGATCAGCGTGGAGATTGGTTTGATCATCGGCGTTGTCTTTTCCATGATCTGCATCATCTATAAAACCCAGAATCCAAAGGTTAATATATAACTAAAAGTCATGAAGAGCATCTTGTAAACTGAAATTGTTATACTAGAGTACTGAAAGACTCTCCTGTATTTTATATTGTACTACAGGTTTCTCTCCTTGGCCGGGTCAGTGACACTGATCTTTACGAGGACCTGGAAGAGTACAAGAACCTCACGGCTCCTCCTCGCATCAAGATCTTCCGCTTTCAGGCTCCTCTGTACTACGCCAACAAGGACTCCTTCCTCAGATTGCTCTACAAGGCTGTTGGTGTTGAACCTTTCCTGGAGCTGACGAAGAGGAGAAAGGCAGAGAAGAAAAGCAAAGACGTGTCGAAAAAGCAAGCCAAGACAAATGGGGAGAAAATCAACTGTGATATTTTCATAGGACTGGTCCAAAGAGAGCTGGACTTCCACACAGTAGTGTTGGACTGTTCTGCTATTCCTTTTATAGACTCAACAGGCGTGGCCACTTTTAAAGGGTTAGTTAAGGACTACAAAGAGATTGGTGTGAGCGTGCTCCTCGCTGGCTGTAACACACCGGTCATTGATGTTTTGCTAAAGGGACAATTCTTTGGGAAGAATAACAAAGACATACGTGACTTTCTATTTTATTCAGTTCATGCTGCAGTTCTACATGCAAACCGAGCATCCGCAGCAGCAGAAAGCAGATCGGAAGATTCTACTATGTAGATAAACCTGAGGAAAAGTAAAACGAGACATAGATTTCTACTTCTTATTCAGTTTTGTGCTTACAAGGGATCTTAGGTCCGAACAATTGAACATTAGGGAGACGGTAAAGATGCCTTGCAGGAATCTTGGTCCAAAAAAATCCATAAAGTGAACAGGAGAATCCTATTAGAAACATAATCTATTTTTAAATAATACAGTAATCCCTCGATTATCAAAGAGGTTCCACACATCCCCGCGATAGGTGAAAAACCGCAAAGTAGGAATGCTATATTTATTTTAGTATTTATATATATATATTAAGGCTTTTCAAACTCTTCCCACACTCTTGCAATGTTATAAACTCTTAAAACAACGTAATTTTAACAACATATGTATATGTACTGCACCTTACCACAAAATTTTATATGGGTACTCACCAGCTCTGCAGAAGCTCAGTTCTGGTCGGGCTCGGCTACCCTGCAGCACAACTAAGCCCACCGCCCCGCCCAGGTTGATGCACGCGTGCTGCCACCCCAGGAAGGACACTCCACTCGTAAGGTTACCCAGGATGTAGTCCAACACCTTGGCCCGATCCGGACAAGCACCGCGCAACCAGAACCAGGCTGAACTCCGCTGCGGTTTTTGCCTGCAGCCCCCAGGATCCAGATCACACTGAGTCCGGATCAACTGCAGCCCGGGTACTCACCAGTGAAGATACAACTTAAAGGTTGAGTTCGGCTTCAGGATTATTTGTGACTGTCCCACCAGTTTTGTGAGCTTAATAGGTAAAGAAGATTTGTGTTGCAAAACTTTCCCGCCATTTCGGCAGAAAGCATCAGCCGGAAGCACTGTTGGCTTCTGGGTAGTGTAGTTCATTTTTGACTGGCAGTATAAGCTTAATGAAAGAAAACTACAAAATAGCGATGCCTGTCCCAAGTTTTTTTTTTCATGAACTTTTTATCCCATACCGTCCCAATCATGTGAGTATTATTAAAGTTGACAATCATTGAAAAATTACAAAAGAGCAAGTCTGCAAATTTTTAGCCATTTTTAAAGATCTTAAAAGCTTGCAACAATTCTGTAAAGCTAGCAACTTCCTAATTAATAGTTTTATACTTGACAACAAATTGCAAAGACAATTTCAAAGACAATTTAAAGAATTGAATACCTATTATAAATGCGTACAAACAACAAAAACGCCTGGTTTGCTCAGATTCCGGATTTGTTACCTTTTTATCTCTAAAGACTTAGTTACACATTAAATGTCTAGTTACAGATTTGATTTTGGGTTCATGCATTATGGACTGTGGAGAGGTGGGTTGTGCCGTGTCATATTCTTACGAAGTCACCTCCCTTCCTTTCAGCACAAAGGAAAGGAAATGAGTGAGAAAGCCAAACCGAACGAACCCATGGCTTTGTACCACATGGAATGACTGGGTATCTTTTTATTCCACATGATGTAAATAACTCATCAAATCCTTTTGGTATAGAGCTTCACATATTCTGAATAGAAGTTAGTTCAAATACTTTTTACAAACTTTAACAGAGCATTAGTGATATCAGTAAACGTCATGCATACCAGTTTAGACTGACTACAAAGACATTAAGAAGGTGTTTTAGTAGACATGTAGGAGTTGGTACCTTGTTGTTGGGTCCTCACAGACATGTGTCAATGTAAAAGCTATTTAAGTCAACATTCAAAGTCCATAAAAGCACAAGTTTCGCAAGTTCAAGAGTCCACGCTTAAAGATTTAGACATCATTTCCTGAGGTGCCAGCCTTGGACTTTAACCAGCCTTTGAGAAATAATTTAAAGTCTTCTGCCTCAGAGAAGGAACACATTGACGGGGAAAGAGGTTTTACGTAACAAACAAGGAATATTAAGAAAACCTTGCCTTTTGAAAATGGGTCAGTAAAATGCACTTATACTCTTGCAGTTAAGAACAACCAGCAGGAACATTTTAAAAAAAAAAAGGAAAGAAAGAATGGTGTGTTTTGGTGCTTTTGACATGTTTTTACTGAATAATCCAACGGCAACAGTTGATGCCTCAGACTTATTTGGTAAATTTTTCTAAAACTTAGAGCCTTGTTTGTCTTTAAATCATACTTTTTGTCATTAAAATAAGCTAACTGCTGTTTTTTAGGTACTTTTTGTCATTGTGTCTCTGTTCCTGCTCAAACTGTGATCATGTTTGTAACAATAGAAAAATTATGTTTATGTTGAAGTCAACAGCTTCCATTGTACAAGATGTCGACATGATTGATTGATTGATCGATGGTAAAAAGACAAAATATATTTGCATTTTTAATAATCATTTTAGTCATCTCAGATGTGTTAATCTTACTTGCATTACAGCTGTGATTGTATTTTTTGAAGTCTCTGTAACCTTCAGGTTTTTTTTTGTTTTTTTTTACAGTGTTGACATTCAACATCCACAAAAGTGTTTTAATGTTTGGTACTTGAATTAAAATAAAACTGATTTAGTGAAACGTGGATGATTTTGTGATTGTTAAGGAAAGTGTTTTGGATGCAGAGTGCTTGACAGCTTGTTTGTTAGGAAGCAAAGATTCAAAAGTTTCATCAGGACTTTGTTTACATTCGTGATAAGTTTTTAATTCCTCAGTGATCATTATTATTGGGTACTGCCTATTAAGGCAGCACCTATTATTATCCACCTGACAAAAGGTTTCTTAACTTTATATCCAACTCTTGTGTAAATAATGTGGCCCTAACTGCAACGTGTACCCCGACATATGTTGTATTAAAACGGCCGTCTCGGCACCGTGATGTGCGCTATTACTTTTATTGGCGTCTCAAGTCACCATGGCGACATAATTTGTAAACAAATATGCCATTTTTATTAGTCATTTTTCATACACTCTGGTTGCAAATCAAATATTCAAGATGGCTACCTTAGCAAAAAAAATAAATAAATAAATACTGCAAATCAGCCATTTTTCAGAGATATTAAATTGAAAGTTGGTGTGACAGTAGCTGAGACAAATGCCCAAATAAATAATAATGAACTTTTGCATTTTTCCTTTGTTCCATACAGCTCTGTTGCAACAGATATCGATCATTCTTGGTAAATTAAGTTGCATTTCATTTTGCCAAACATACTGGAATCGTTTCATGACACATGCCAGTGCAAATATAAGTTAACCCATTTTGTACCAAAACAACTTAAAACCTTTTACAACCCGTTTCGTCATTGTTATTTCATTATTTTGGTTTAACAAACATATACAGTCTAGATTACATTTGTATTGTAATAGTAAGCTGCTCTAGACATTAGGCTACAAGAGTAGTTCAGATTTTCTTTATGTGCACTATTGTGAGCAGGTTATGAACAGTAAATATCTTACCTGTTGCAGATAGCTCTTTGAATGAACTCAGTTTGAAAAGTGGAGTTTAATTTGGACCGGACTGACAAGCTAATGACTAATTCAAGTGCAATCTTGAAGCAAATCCAGTCTCAGATGTCAAAATGATTCACACAAATCATATTTTATAAACTTTTAGACCACTTGGTGATTTTGGCAAACATATTTTTTCCTAATGGAGGTGCAGCGGTTGCATCAAAAGTAGGACTACTGCATGTCACTGCTCTTGAAATAGCAGAACTTACTGTGAATGCTAAACTTTCTGCAAGGCAAGGATTTATGAAATTAATATAAACTCTAATATATATATATGTGTGTGTGTGTGTGTGTGTGTGTGTGTTAGATTGATGTTGATTTAAAACTTGGGTCTTGGCCTAGCTCAGATTAGCTCATGTGAAGCTAGCAGCTTGTGGGAGTGGTGACGCCGAGTTAGAGAAGGTGGACCTGCAATTGGAAGGTCGCCAGTTAGACTCCCTGAACCGACAACATCAAAATGTGGGTTGGAAAGGTGAAACACTCACACCTGCCTCCACCCTCATTTACACCACTCTGGGCCCTTGAGCAAGGCCCTTAACCTCCACCATCTGCTCCCAAACAGGTCTCTCGTGAAAATGAGTCCTCGTGGCTCAATGAGACTACCTGTATAAATAAAGGTTAAATATAAGAACTGTAAATAAAAATTAATACAGTCAGATTTAAAACAACTCTTCTTTTGGGTCATTTAAAGAGCTATCTACAACAGGTAAGATAATGATTGTTCCTGAAAAGTTCTGAGCTATTTACACAACATAAAAATTACATATACACATTATGTGTAAGGGATTTTACTTTTTTTAATATATATAATAGCTTCAAAACCTTCAAAGTGTTACCAGCACAAATGTTTCCAAATGTCAGGCAGTCAAATCAGAATAATTACTCATCAGAGCATGAAGTTTTACACAAAACAAGTTACATGCCACCAGAATCTTTACATTTTTAAACAATACTTTGTTGCGTACACTTTACAAAATCTTGAAGTAACTGTAAAATACTGGTTGATGGGTTGTCAGCATTTTCTTCTGTTTATTTTTACAGTAAGAGTTCTGTTACAGTAAAATCAGCAGTGTTGCCATTATCTTACTTTACCTTTTACTTATTCAGTTTTTACAACGTGTTACTGTAATAAAATAATCTGGTGAATTAGAGTTCATCATAATTACACAAATTAATATTTAGTAATAGGTTTCAAAGTAAAAGCTCTGCTGTGTTTCATGCTGCCTCCTCTGTGAAGAAGAGACACGATGAACACTTACAGTTCAGAGAATAATCCACAGTCAGGTGTCTGTACAGCTGCGCGGTACATCTTTTACTTATTAACTGTAAACAAGGTAAGGAAAAAGCTGTTTGTGTGCTGACACAGTCAATGATTGAATAAGCGTACGTGCTGCATAATTCTATGGTTGGTTTATTAAAGCATCACTAGAATGTTCTGTGTGTAACTAACGTGTTTAGAGATTAAAGAGTTAAAAATAGAATCTGATATTTCTATTTATGTTTTGTCAAGCTGTACTGCAATATAAACTTTACTATATATATATATATATATATATATATGTATAAATGATTACTGACAAATGTTACTGCTTGTCCAGTTCCTCTAACAGCTGATGGACAGAGCGGCTTTGTTTTGCTTCCCCCCCACCACTTTGAGCATTTGACATGAGGTCAAACATGCTGAGAGACATCCGGACCAACGTATTTAATGAGCATAAACTTGTAAAATCACCAGCAGAGAAGAGTTACTTCACACTCAAAAAAACAAAAAGAGGAAAAGAGGAAAGAATTTATTTTATGCAACAATATTCCACTGAGCATGCATCAGGATATTCCACTCACAGTTTTAGTTAAATAAGAACACTTCCTGCTAAATTTAAAAAGTCTGAAGAGTAATAAAAATCATTTGGTTCTGACAAGACCTTAGAAATAAACGTCGTCAGAACAACACTGAACATACTAACGTGTAATTATATTGAATGTGAAAAGGCAAATTGAGTGAAAACCTGAAGCAGCAATTGGAAACTTTGACAGGGACTGCCACGTGGCGGCCATTTTTAAATTTTGATTTGACAGTGTTATGTGTTGGGATTCACTCTCAGCTACCACCAAACCAAATTTTAGCTTAAAATGACAAAATATCAATGAGTTGAAATAATTTTTTCTTTTAAGCTATGGTGACCATCTTGGATTTTTTTATTTGGATCCAGTATGTGATGGGGAATGTTGTCAGCAATAACCACACCAAATGTCAGCTCTATATGTGTAAAAATAGCAGAGTTAAAGCCATTTAAATGTAGCTTTGGTGGCCATCTTGATATTTTTTAATTCATTTTTTATTGGGCATTGGTCTTAGCTACTATCACACCAACTTTCAGCTTAGTATCTCTAAAAATGGCTGATTTACAGTATTTTTTCCTTTTTTTGCTAAGGTGGCCATTTTGGATATTTGATTTTCCACCAGAGTCAATGAAAAATGACTAAAACAAAATGACATATTTGTTTACCATGGTAACTCGAAACACCAATAAAGTAATAGTGCACATCACGGTGCCAAGCCGGACGTTTTGATATAAGATTTGTCGAGGTACGTGTTGCGGTTTGGCCACATTAAAGTTGACGGAAGAGTTAGATATAAAGTTAAGAAACCTTTGTCAGGTGGATAATAATAGGTGCTGCCTTAGTAGGCAGTCCCCAATAAAACAAAAAAATACTGAGCCATCATATAAAATAGTAAGCTGTGTTTTATTTCACCTAAATCACACTGTATTTATACAATGAAGTTAATGCAGTTTATTTTTATTTACTCCAGTAAATGTGCAGACGCTGTTTGTTTTTGTGCCTGCAAAATAGGATTTTCAGATCCGACAAATTTTTTTTCCAAAATAACAGGATACATTCAAATCTTTGCTCGATACAAAGAAGCATTTTATTTTATATTTTAACCAAGTTTCTGTGATGTAAATAAAATGAGTCACAAACATGATCTAATCTGAGAGCAATGGAGGAGCACAGACCTTCACTTCCTTCATAATTATTTTTCCTCTGATGAAGAAACTTCTACACTTCCCTTTAACATATTTTATAAGGATTTACATCTTAAGTGTTGAGAAATGCAGATTATATTTTTTTTTCATCACTTGAAGCAACTATGTGTCATAAGGGTCTCTCTAGTGAATGAATCAGAACTTTCTTTTTATTTGAAATGACCCAAACTCATTTTATTTCAGTGCTGCCCTCTTTTGTTCAATAATATAAACAGCAGCAAAACCAATAATGCAAATATTGCTTAGAAAATATAATGATTTTAACTAATTTAATGAAAGTTGTGGCAATTTTTCCTCTTATTTCAAGATGTTGGTTTTTTTATGTGTATGAGATTCTAACTCAAAAACTGTTTGTTTTTTCCAATTATGACTAATATTAAAAAGTTATGACACAATCTTATTGTTCCAGCATTCTTTATTCATTCAAAATCTTTAAAAAATATATTTTCACATAGGCACTGGAATAAATATACACTCAGTCGTCAGTGCTGGCTCAACAACTTACAGATGAGCTCCAAGACACACAAACATTTTTAAAATAAACAATTCACGGGGAACAAGTCACTTCTTTCGGCAACTTCAGTGCAGTCAGCAGTAGTAAGTGCTTTTATTGATAAGATCAAATAAATAAGGAAATAAAAAAAACTGGCCGTTTAGTCTGACAGTCTGATCAATTTGCTCCGGATTTGACGTGTGCAAATACAGTTACTCAAAAATAAAAATAAAAGCAAACATGACTGAAAGAGTACAAATGAACAAATGTGATACTAAACAATAAATCTCTACATTTTACCATGAGGAATATGGAAAATAAATATTGTAGATAGTTGAAACGCTTTCCAATGACCTAATTTAACCAAAGTTAAGCACAAAATGTTTTTTTTTTATGTGAACTCATGATTAAAGAGTTCAAAAGCATTTCTATACATGAATTTATTGTTTAACTCACTAAATGGACATAAATCGGATTATTGGGTCTATAATAGGCAGAGTAAAACTCCAGGATGTTTGATTTTCTTTACGTGAAATAACATTTTTAGGATTTATCAAAGCCGTTTGTGTCAGCTTGGGCATCGAAAGGCACAACTTTCATTTTGACCACATGACCGTGTTAAATGTTAGCAACAAAAATGTTTCATTCAGTGCAACACAAAAAGAGTTCAACATACAAAAACTGGAATACATATTCCTGATTTTCAGGATTGTCCCCCCCCCCCCCCCAAAATAATAAAAAAAATTAAAAAAAAACACTAAGGTGCATACACATTCATTTTATATACTTTTAACGGTTTACAGCCAGTTACATGATTAATTTAGTTTCATGGTACACAAACTGTTATTCATTCATTTTAATCTTTGATTGTATAATAAAGAATCAATTATCAAATAAGATCCATTTCAGAATATCTTATATCACTATATACCTGACAGTAGAGGTAAGCAAGATGACATACTTTGTTGTTTAAATAAATAAATTATAAAAAATGTTGTCGTCATTCCATGTTTGGAGACATGAGTCAATTTGTCTTCTGCTCATTTAGGTGATTGTTTTAATGTGACTGGGTGATTTATATTAAATAAAACTGCTATGTTGGAAAAATACTAAACGACAAAGTAAAAAAAAAAAGGCAAAGAGTCAGCAAAATGTAGCTAATTGAAACTAAAACATTCAAATCATGTTTGGAATAGAGCTGCGATTTCTAACCCGAGCCCGGGCACGACCCGAAGTTTGGGCCGGGCCGGTCTCGGCTTTTGCGAATCGTACAGCACAATGAAAACTAAATAAGAATGCACAATATAAAATTGTGTTAATCTACTTGTTGAGGAGGAAGCAGGTCCGATCGACCAGTTTAAAGAGGAAAAAAAAGTCCAGTAAAGTTTCAGCTGGATCAGCTGATCACCGGCCGCGCGCGTCTCCACACCTGACGCTACAAAAGCCGACGCGAGCAGCGCGTTCAATTAAAATAGCCTTGTTCTATATTGTTCCAAATAATTTTGCTCTAAAAATATTTTTGTTCATCTGTATAATAGCTTATCTTTAGAGTTGATTGTTTTTTAGGCTATTCATTTGGTTAATATCCATTCGGTGACTTGTTAATAAACAAGAAATCTTATATCTTCCTTTCTTTGAAACACATTTTTAAAATGTCACGTCAAAGTGATTTGTTTACAAAAGCAGATAAAAGCTTAATTAAAAAAATGTTGGTTTTGGGGGAGTATTCTGGCCTCTAATTACAATTAAATGGTCGGGTTTGGAAAAAATGGCTACGGGCTGGGGCCGGGTTTTTTAGGCCTGAATGTAACTCTATTTTAGAGTCGGAGTAAACATTATTAGTTACAGTAAAGAGGGTGATTGTTCTGCTCTGTGGCTGTCGGAGCGATGACTTTAAGTCGTTTATAATTATTTATGCATTAACTGGTGAAGCTCTGCGCCATCTTCTTAAGAAATAAAAGCAAAAGGTTAAATTCTGTATCCTAATTACTGATAAGGATCCGTTTCCCCCCACAGTCAATAATCAGATTGTTGTCTGAGAGTAGAGAACACAGATTGGAGCTTAATGAAAAAGGAAAAATATTAATTATATTTATGGATTAAAAAAAGCTGAAATATCACTGTGAATGTAAACACAGCCATTGAGAAATCATCATCAGAATATTTCTGTTCATGAGTTTTACAAACTCTAATGATTAAAACGTCGTCTCCATAGCTTCCAGTTCCAATTTGTTCCCAGTTTATCAAAATATTTCATTTATTACTGTAGAAACTGGAACTAAACTGTGAGCAGAACAAAAATATTACATTTGATTCTCAATAATCCTTGGGCTTTCTAATACTTCTGTTAAAAAAAAAAAAAACAACAGTAACCAACCAAGAGATTTAATGTCTAACACTTAAAAACTAAATAAAGAACACTTTTGTTTCATGCACTGACCTAAAGTGTTGTTCATGATAAAACAGTTCAGCACCTTGTACTCAGCTGAAGGTGATGCTTTTGTTGTGCTGGGGTCCACTTAGCTGCTGCTGGTCTGACTGGGACACGGCTGGCTGTGTCTGAAGCGCATGATGAGCACGGCGGTCTGATGCCACCAGTAAAACATCAGCACCACCAGGAGGTGCCACAGCTGGTGGCTGGCACCAACGTAGTTCACCTGGCCTGCAGACAGAGAGGGGAACGTTTTTCATTATTTAAAAGTCGACAAACTGGATTGAAACAGAAGCTCAAGCAGCTTATGTGCAGCACTTTGGTCAGTCCCTGTAGCTTCACAGTAAATGTGCTGAAAAAATAAACTGTACTTACTTAATACTTATGATAAACAATGTTTAACTCACTAAATGGACATACATCTGTTTATTGGGTCTATTATAGGCAGAATAAAACTCCAGCCGTTTGTCGGGACTGAAAACGGACACCCCCGCGATAAACGAGGGACTACTGTACTTTTCTTCTGTAAACTCCATTTTCTGTCCACACTGTTCAGTAAATACATTCATTTGTGGGTCTGGCTTGGCATTTGTGGTCCAGCCCATCAGAGTCTTATGGAGTTTCGGCGCAACGTCCAAAGAAGCTAAGCAGCTACAAACAACCTTGGCTTCTTCTGGTGCTTTTTCCAAACATTACACTGCACATTTCATCGCATACCGAGGAATATTTGGTGTTGTGGATTTATCACAGAAGTTTACGGTCGTACGACGTCAAACAAAGGTGGTAAGTAAGATAATCCCATGGCTCGTAGCCGTTTTTATCATGCTAAGTGTTAGCAAACAGTAGTGCTTGGTGTATCTGGATGGTCAAAGGAAAACGTTTACAAGAAGACAGTGGTGAGACCAGCTATGTTATATGGTCTGGAGACAGTGGCATCGGCAAAAAAGACAGGAGACGGAACTGGAAATGGAAGAAACGAAGATGTTGAGGTTCTCCTTAAGAGTGACAAGGATGGATAAGATTAGGAATGAGATCATCAGAGGTACAGCACAGGTTGAACAACTAGGAGATAAAGTTATAGGCCAGAGGAGATGGTTTGGACATGTCCACAGGAGGGACAGTGGGTATATTGGTAGAAGGATGTTAGAAATGCAGCTGCCAGGAAAAAGACAAAGAGGAGATGTATGGATGTAGTTAGAGAGAACATGGAGGTAGTTGGAGTGAGGACAGTGATGCAGAAGGATGCTCAGATGCTCAGGGAGTTTGTGTGTTTGCCCACACACATGAAAAATTAGAGGGAACATGTTTTGATCACATAGATGAGCCTTAACGAGACATTTGAGTTAACATTTATGAATTAATGTTTGAAACAAAATGACTTCTGTAAACCTTGCGGAGTATGAAAACCTGGAAAACTGTTTGGAGACAATAATTATTCAAAATGTTATGAAAACCTGCATATTTACATTTCAAGCTTACAAAGTTAAGCATAGTGATAAATCACAGCTCCAGACTGTGATAATCTGATTAAATTTTTTAATCGATTGACAGCACTAGTTTTTTTTTTGTGGTTTCTCTTCAGGGCTATAGAACTTGGTAGTTTTAAATGTAAAACCTTAGCTACACCGCCCTCTAGTGGCAGTTTAAATCACCTCTGGATTTAAACAAAGATTTCATCTTAGCTGATAAAAACCAAGATTTGAGGTTTTAAGGATTCACGTTCATAACTGCATTTAAGTTACTGACACACAAATAGCACTTTTGATGCTCGGTTTAATTTTTGCTTTGCACTAAAGCTTCCTTCGAGCTCACCCGGGAAATATCGTTCAGGGATTTTGGTGACGTAGAACAGGAATGCAAATCCAGCTATCAGGTACATCCCTATCACACGAGGGAGGAAGAGCTACAAAACAACAACAACAGAAAGCAAAGCGTCACAATCCACAGTAAAGATTCAGATCGGCTTTTTTAATTATGACTCTTCTTTCCGCACCTGCACGACTTCAGAAGTGAAACCTTTACTCAGCCACACCCAGTGGCACGCAGGAATCACACTGATGCCCGCCACGCAGAAGAAGATTGCCATCCTGATCACTTTCCAGTCGTTGCTGAGGTAATGAGGGTGGACCTGAGCGCAGAACACGGCCAGAATCAGGGAGAGCACGGTCAGGAGGTAAACCTGCCGCCAGAACTGCAAGAAAAAAGAAAAAACTCTTCATAAGCTGAGATGAAGTGCCTGCGTCTTTATTAGTCCATCCACGTTTTATAATGTGTTCTTTTACGTAAGAACTGAGAGATTTGTTTGAACATCAGACAATCTAAATACAGTTACGTGGATCAGCTCTCTTGCAATATGGATTGTCTTCTTGTTGTCTTTTAAGTGATAATCAGATACATTATATACAACAAATAGAAACCGTCTTCACAAAAAGGCATGTTTTCATAACACTGGTGGACATGCTGACTCCAAGCAAGGTCCGGCATTGAACTTATCATAACATGAAATATTATACAAATGCAATAACACTCCAGGTCCATTTGCAATTGTTTGACTTCTACAGAACTTTTCTGACATGTTTCCTTCCATTCCTACCAAATATGTCTAATAAAGTGTAAAAGTCCATAAATAAGTCGCTTCGCCGAATACGTTGCATTTATTACGCGTCACCGCTGACAACCCGGAAACGTGGGCCGGTGTTGAAAAATGGTAAATGGACTGTACTTATATAGCGCCTTTCTATTTTATTTCAATTTTTGTGCCGAAAATCGATTGGCTGCCAAATGGAGGCCGCTGGGGCGTGAACGGGAGGACTTTAACAAGACTTTAACAAGATTAACACTTAAAAACAATTGTTTGTTTGCTCGGAATTATAGCAAATATGTCTCAGTCTAACTTTTGCTTAATAAATGAACTTTGATGGTCAAATCAGCTGCATTTCAAAACCCAATTCACAGAAGTGGGCACACACAGCGGGATGAACTGCTGTTCATTTCTTCGAAGTTTACCAAGATAAACACCTAAAAACAATTATTTGTTTGTTCGACTTCATAGTAAAGGTGTGTCTCAGTCTAACGTTTACTTAATAAAAGGACTTTAACGGTCTAATCAGCTGTATCTCAAAAGTATTCGGTGCTCCCGGGAGCGCGCAGACAGGGAGGAAATCAGGAAGGAGAAATGTGCATTTCTTTGAAATTTAACAAGAAAAGCACCTAAGACAATTATTTATTTGCCAGAAATTAGAGCAAAGCTGTGTCTCAGTTGAACTTTTACTTAATAAATGTGCTTTAATGGTCAAATCAGCTGCATTTTGCCAGGGTGGTGCAGCGAAATGAAACTGATTTGACGGTTGCTCCAAGCAGTGAGCAGAATAAATGTGGCATAGTAAGGCAAGCCGATTGTGTCACTAATAGCTGGTGAAGATTCTCAGTCATCCAGAACATGGTAAATTCAAAAATGTTCATGACAAAAACAATAAAGTACAATGTAAAGTATAATAAATAAAGTCCGTAAATGGCAGTGTTCCATTTTTTCAGTCAGAATGAATGAAAACGCTCATATCTCAGCCAAAAATTGGTTCATAAATATGTGAAAAAAATCCATAAATACGTCGCTTCGACCTATAAGTCGCGGGGCATGTAAATTATGCAAAAAAAAAAAAACATGACTTAAAGGCCAAAAAATACGGTAATTACTTTAAGACATATATTTGACAATAATAATACAGAAATGCCCTCTAACAGCCTAAACACTGCTGCACTTACAGCGTTACAGTAGAAAGCATAGAAGATCCCAGGAACATAACAGCCCAGGATGCCGACAGAAATGCCTGCGTAGTCCAAGGACAGCCAGCGACGGCACGTTTTTTCTGACCGGTGGCATGAGAAAAGATGATACCCCACTGAACACAACATGCAAACCTGGAATAAAAACACACAGAACACTTACTCGTTGCAAAATATTAGTATTCTGTATCTAACGGCAATACATTTTCATAAAATTATTGTTTTAAGCAAAGTAAATAACTTAAATAGTCCTTGTAATTGCAGGTTTATGAACTTACAACATGTAAGGCTACACAAACAATAACTATTATATGTGCATAACAGTGCAATAGGAGACACATATCATGAGAAAACGCAATAAGCTTACACAGTGACAACGGAGACTAAATACATTTTCAATCCAAATATGGGCCTCTACACAAATTGCAACCTAAACAAACAAGCAACTAAAACACAAAAGTCACTAACACAACTAAACTGAACTAATGCATTTTCCAATTTCTAACGATGCGTCTCAGCTCCCGGCTGACATGAAACTTACACTCCTGAGCCGGTAGAGCTGAGTGAACCTGCAGCGCAAACATAAACTGAAGTGAATCAGCTGCTTAAATGATGCAATGAAGAAGAAACCAGCAAAGCATGCAAATGTCATTACTTTAGCCCACCAGTGATGAAATATAAAAAAGTCCACTTGTGGTTACAACAACCACAAACAGACGAATAACTAACTGTTACCTGGAAGCAGAACAACCCTATAGCGTAGATGATGTAGTCCTCTCTGTTTGCGCCTGCAGCTGGCAGGACCGCCGACAGGTCATTGAGCCCCAGGAAGAAAAACAGGATGAAACCCAGAAGGTGGCTCCAGATATTCACTGTCTCATTGGACAGAATAAAAATACTGCAAGAAAGAGTGTGAAAGAAATAGTTTGAGCGCAAGTACAAGTATATTAGTGTTCAGATGCAGATCGTGCAGTTTGTAATAACAAAGGCATGCATTTCCAACATGACTCACCTCTTCAGGCAGAGTCTGGAGGTCAGGTGAGCCCTGTATCCATCTGTGATGTAGGGATTTTCTTTAAGGAAGATGGGGATTTGCTCATAGGTGTACAGCCGTATCCTCTGGGGCAGCAGCACAGGCCAGTGCTGGTAACTGCCCAGCTCTATGTAGTGGGCAGTTTTCAGCAGCTTCTGGGGCATCTTCAGCAGCATCTTGTTCTGAGCTCTGACAATACAAGTTGGTGGAGTTTGGAGTCTGCATTTGAAAAAGAAAAGAGTCGTTTTATAAGCCTGAATTCATCCATCCATCGTTTTATAAGGCTGAATTCTGCTTATCGTAATAGATCATGTACACGTGTTTTATGCGCATGCGCCAAACAGGAGCGACGTTCACATATCCAGAGGGATGATACAGAATGACCTCCAAAAAAAAAAAAAAAAAACAGCCAACATTTGAATAAAAGGCACACCCATATGTAAATATTATAACGCATTTAGGATTGGCATTAGGTCAGTTTGGGTTTTAGCATGAATGCTAACGTGAGAGCTAATCATAACATAACGAGGAGACGTACTGAAGAAGAAACTCACCATTAATCCGAACCTCGATGCCGGCTTTTCATGAGAAATTCAGCCATATTATGATGGCTGGCAGGAAATTAAATGAATTAAATGAATATTATGGCTGCTCTCAGCTGTCCTGCGCTTCTATTTCTTCTTCTGCTGTTTATTGACGGTTGGCAAATAAACTTGGAGACGCATTTACCGCCACCTATTGGTCTGGAGCATATATTGCAGCAGCATATTACTGCCACCTGGTGGTGATAATGTGTTATTGTCACTATTTAGATTTGTCGAAATGATCACTTTTCATTCATTCATTCAACATTTATTTATACAGGTAAATCCCATTGAGCCTCGAGGACTAATTTACAAGAGAGACCTGATTTCAACAAAGAATGATGACAACAATGGACAGTTATAAAAAGGCATACAGTTTTTTTTTTTTACAAATAAGATGGCAAAAAAAGTAACAAAAACAGCTAGATTATAAGGCAAATGTAGAAAACTGAAATCACATTGGTAATATGCCTTATGGTGGGTGGGTAGGGGTATGTCAATCATAAAATTATGTTCCTATTTTATTAGATGTCAGCGTGGTATGGCAACCTCTGCACAGGCAAAAATCCACGTTACAGCAATCTTTGCTCAGAGCATGACATTTTGCATCCTGGCCCCTGCTGCACAAATGCAACTGCAAGTTTTAAAGTGTGTTGTTGTTTATATTTCTTTTATAATATGCTTTGAGCTCTCCCCAATGATTTATCTTGAGCAAAATCATAAATAAATCCCAGTCATGCTATTGATGAAAGTGCTTGTTTATTGATGTTGGGCTTCAAGTCGTTGCTGTTGTTTGTTTGTTATTAATATTCATCACCACATTTCAGAAGTTTTTTTTTAATTTAATCTGTTTCTGATGGGGTAACTAACCGTGGTGGCAATATCTTTGTGTGGGCTGCAAAGAAAGAACAAGGTTTCATCATATGAAATTCACATATCAGTAACTGTGATACACATTTTCCACAGTTTTAAATATATGTATAGTACAAAAGAAAACACCATGTTTTCAATCAACAATTTAATGTTTTAATGCAATAATTACTGTTTTTAATTATTTATTATTACTATTTTATTTTTGCAAGTCCTGCTCTTTAGTTTGGAAAACATAAAATGTAATCCAGCCACACCCGCTAATACAACAGAGATCACATAATCCATAACAGGGAGGGGGGGATTCATTTTCGCTGACACACAGACTTTGGTATGTAATTATACAAGTTGTTTACTGTCATATAGTCTTATCCAGATGATTTGTTGAACAATTCTGGATCCCAGCAGACTGCAAAGTTAAATGTGTAATTACTGTACGGTGTCACAAAGGGATTTACAGGAATGAAATCTACATCTCAGCCTGATCATTCGTGACAGAGTGCAGAATTGGGAAATAGGGTTTCATTTTTTTTGTTAAACAAACAATGAAGCATAAAGAAAGGAATCCTTTCCATTTTTGAAAATTTAGCCTCTTGATGTATGAGTTGACACATTCATTTAATCTGCTTTTGTATTAAAGCCATGACAAAAGAAACATATCACACAGACACACACATTGATTTAGATTCCACATTTGGAGGGTTAGGATGCACTTTTTGTGACATGTGCAAATAAAAACACAGCACCCATGACCATTAGGCTAACAGGACATAAACACAGTATTATAAGCCACTGCTGCACTGATCAGTAATTATACAGAACGGCACCGTTTCACATATCATGAAATTTAACATTAAGTTTTTTTAATTAAATAAATGGGGATGTGTCAATTATACAGGAATATTTTAAATTATGTGAAACACAAGCCTGTTTTCAAAGTATTTTTGCCATTTTCCCCAGCTTTTAATCAAACAGCTGTCCTTGTGCAGAGAAAGGATGAAATGCTTTGAGTGAAGACAAGAAAATAATTATGGTATTTTCAAAATAAAAGCCCACTGTAAACACAATGCATCCAAAAAAGTTAAGCCAGGTTAACTTTTATTTACCTGGATGATTAAATGTACATCAGGACAATTAATACATGTTTTTTTTACATATTAGATACACATCAATATTCTAAAAAAGGGATTTTTTTTTTCAAATTATTTCTCAATTATAAGTGTTCTCTTCATTGTACATTTCCTTTTACATTACAGAAAGTGTATAACTCACTACAATACCAGAAAATACATCTAAATAGATCAAATCCTACAAAAAAGGTACTCATTACAGTATTACAAAAAACAGAAACAAAGGTATATAAATTAAGAAACAAAATCTACACAATATGTTTTTAATATTAATTGTTGATGTGTCTATAAATCCAAAATTTGTCAGTAAAATTTACAAACGGTCGCCTCCGATCATGTGTTTGCTTAGCTGATACGGAAACAACCGGAGTGACGAGACAGAAACACTGAACCATGCACAGAGGAGCTGTTTGGAATCAAGACAGACAAGAGATCTACTGAATAAGGTACGTAATGACTTGTTTACATTGAGTACATACCTGCATTTTATAATTGCATATTAATAAACCTGGAAAACACAAACTGCACCCTTTGATATGGTTCAGAATAAAATTTGTTTATGTTTTTAAATCATATTTATCTGATAGATTCCAGTTTGTAAATGTAAATAATGAATTGTCTTCTTACACCAAAGTTAGTCATGGAGTTCCTCAGGGTTCGGTGCTTGGACCAATACTCTTTACATTATATATGCTTCCATTAGGTAAATTTATTAAACATAGGATACATTTTCATTGTTATGTTGATGATACACAGGTATATTTATCCATGAAACCCAATGAATCCAATCCGTTACTTAGACAAGCATGTCTTAAAGACAAAAAATAAACTAGATGACCCTAAATTTTCTGCTTTTAAACTCAGACAAGACTGAGGTTTTAGTTTTTGGACTTGAGCATCTAAATTTTTCAATCTTTTGCCCTCTTGGATGGCTCTGGCTTCCAGCTGTAATGTTAAAAACCTTGTTGTTATTGACTTTATATGTATGTGAATGTTTCTGGTCAGTGTCCTGAGTTGACTTTGTTGTGATTTTGGCGCTGTATAAATAAACTGATTTGAATTGTTTGATTTGAGAATTTGCAACGAGTGTCTTGTTTTACACGTGTTTTTGTTCTTCCTGTGGGCAGTCGTGGTTGTTTAATTTGTAGGGTCCTGACAGGAAGTGCTTCAGTGTGTTCACTGTGCGTATTTGACAGTCGGTGATGTGTGCAGCTGTGCGTCCTGCTCCGGTCACCACCTCCCTGTCAGCTGCTCCTCTCCCCCTCAAAACAGCAGAGCTCCAACATGTGAGCAGCCGGACTGAAGCATGATTTTTGCTGTGGATGTTTCATGGTGGATGCATAAATAATCTCTGCGGGGATGTAACGCATGGATTATGGGTCGGGTCTGGGTATGTTGGTGCCAAATCCTGCTGCTTGCTCTGCGCGTTTGCGGGAGTTCTGAAGAGGAAGACGCGTCCTGCGATGGAGTCTTTGATATCTATTTTGTTTTGGACAGGTGAGCTGTGAAATTATTCGCATTAACTCAGAGTTGAACTCAAACCTCTCCATGTATGGCTGTGTTTGGATCCACTCATGATCCACTGGACTGGAGAGAGAGTTTATTTATCCTCTAGTCTGGGAGAAATGTCGCTTTTATCTCCCAGCATTTTACCCTCAGTGTTTTGTTTTGCAACAATAAAACATTTAACAAACTTTATAAAACGAATGCATATGTAGTATTGTATTTTAATGACTTTTTCTTTCTTTTGGAGCCAACCACTGCAGCTTGTGTGTTATTTTTTACACTTTAGTCTCATTTACTTTGGTCAGTTTTACAGAAAACTAGTGCTATTTTAAAATACATGACAAGAAAGTACACTTGCCTTAAATTCTAGGGTTTTATGTATCAATACATAACAAAAACTAAGTTATTAAAATTCAACCTCAAACACACAAGTGATTTAATCATTATGTTTTGACCCGGTGGCTCAGTTGGTGGACCTCAGCAAGAAGGCCGTTGGATCGAATCCCAGCTGGGGGACCTTTCTGGGTTGAGTTTGTTCTCTCTGTGTGTGGGTTTTCTTCGGGTACTCCGGTTTCCTCCCACAGACCAAAAACATGCATGTTAAACTGATTGGTAACTTTGAATTGTCCCTAGGTGTGAGTGAGAGAGGTTGTTTATGTGTCCCTGTGATGGACTTGTGACCTGTCCAGGTCCCCCCGCCTCTCGCACAGTGACTGCTGGGCATGGGCACCAGTGTCCCTGTGATCCGAAAAGGAAGAAGCGGGTAAAGATAATGGATGGATGGATGGATGTTTTGACCAAACACATATAGACAAAAACAGCTCATACAAATGTCAAACACAGTGGTGGAAGTGTGATGATTTGGGCTTGTTCTACAGCCACAGAACCAAAGTATTGTAGAGTCAAATGTGAGGCCACCTCTGTCTGCCGACTAAAGCTTAGGCCAAACTGGATCCTGCTACAGTGCAAGAGCCCCGAACACAACAGCAAATCTACAACAGAATAACAGAAAAAGAAAATGTTGAGATGGTGCAACCTGTTTAAAATGCATCTGTGGGACCATTAGAGAGCCGTGCAGAAACAAACACTGACAAACCTTCATGGGTTTCTAGAATTGCGCCGCTCGGGGTAGCTGCATGTTGGAGTAGCTCTGTTACTTTCATTCTGAGATTTTGCTTTTGGAAACTTTTAATTCTACCTTTTCTTTTTGTAAATCACTTTTTTTTTTGGATGATTGTTTCCTCTGGTGCAGCTGGCAGAATTTTTACAGAAACTTTTTTAGTTTTAGACATTTCTAGGTGGTTTTTACAAGTGGGAGCAGCTGACTAACATCTCAAAAGCTCAAATAATATCTCAGCTGCAGCCCCAGATCTCAAATGAGTTGAAAAAGGAGGCACCGTAGATGCATTCCCGTCTCCCTGCCGGCTGTGCTCGAGCGCCTGACCACCAAGATCCTGGAAATGGCAGGAAACAGGGCTTTTGACAGCAGAAGGATGGGATCGTCCCCCAGCACCTGCAGCAAGCTGTCCGAAGTGACGAGGAGCTCGGCAGGCTGCTGGGAGGAGTGATCATCGCTCTGGGAGGAGCTCTGCCTGGCATTCAGTTGTTCCCGCAGCCCGGGGGAACTGAGAGGCCAGCTGAGTCTGGGTGGATGGATCAGATGGCATCTGCGGCCAGTTTTTTCGGATCCACTGTGGGACGGACCTTTACAAGAGATCCTTCCTGCCTACGGCCATCAGTATCTATAACATCTCTTAATGAAACGAGGATAACGAGTTACAACAACATTTAATTTCCCTTTGGGATTAATAAAGTATTTTTGAATTGAATTGAACTGAACGAACTGAAGCGATGTTGTAAAGAAGAGTGAGCTTAATTTCATCCTCAACCACGTGAAAGACCAAGTACAGAACCGTGTTGTTTTAATTTGAGATTAGATAGTGACGTTTAGAAACTCAAACACATTTTATATCCTGTAGTCCTCTTTCTATTCCTCTAGAACTGAAAGAAGGAAGACTTCCCTTTGTCCCCATGATTGTAAGCGTATTTGGTTGATGGATTAATCTCCCTCTGCTTGGATCCACCCTACGTTTCAGATTAGATCGGATTATCTGTCATTTTAGTATTTCTTGTGTTTTTGCAGATCAGGCAGCGTGTGGGGACACTGGAATGAGATCTATGAGTTTGTGGAGCAGCTCACTAGCAGGTTTGTCAGGTAAGTAAAGTTACACATTTCACCCTTTGCAATCCCTGCAATAAAAAAGCTTGTCTACTAAAGAATAGTCTTATGTTTATGAGTTTTGCATGCACCAACCAAAGGAAACTGAGGCTTTTACACAGCAGAAAGTATTTTAATGTTCATCCAACAATGTATTAGTGTGTAAAAAGTAGGGCAGGAGTTATTTCAGGCTGCAGAGCTCACATAAAGGCCAACAACTGCTCCAAACCCTTCTGGTCTGAAGGGTGTGTGTTGATATCTTTAGGTTTTAATAGTGAGGTGCTAAATATAAAGGCTAACCATGCAGCCAGATGTGCTGACAACAAAGACTTCCTGTCGCAATGAATCAAAGCAGCAACAGTTAGAAACCGAACAGGCTCGGATGATCTTAATATTTGTTCTGGGATGTTTATTTCTTTATGTTGTGTGTGTTTTCTTTATATTAGCCCCAGGATGAGAGTCTCCTACGTTGTCTTCTCAGCCCAGGCTGCTGTAGTACTTCCTTTAACTGGAGACAGGTGTGCATTTCCCTTCATCTTCTCTCCTCGTGTTGTCTTAACTCGTATTCCTCCTCCTCTCTGATGAACGTGATGTGTACGTTTTTAAGACTGGTTGTAAACGTTGCTGTTTTTGTGATCTGGCCGCTCAGATCTAAAATAGATGAGGGTCTTAACGAGCTGAGACAAATCAATCCTGCTGGGGAAACCTACATGCACGAAGGTTTGAAAGCGGTAAGATTATTAATCTGATAAGACTTTGCAACAAAGTTCATGCTCAATCATCCAGGAATCTTTAATCCAATATCAGTTTTCCGAAAATACAGTGTCACATGTTTTGGATTTTTATTTTATAAATGTATTGTGATTTTCTTTGAATATCTAAAAATGCAGAAGACATTTAATGTCAAATTTTCCCTTTATCAGGTGTCAGAACAGATGAAGATACAGTCGTCCTCCTCATCCAGCATTATTATCGTACTGACTGATGGGAAGCTGGACATTTACCTCTATGAACTCAGTGTACAGGAGGTAACACACACACACACACTTCAAGGGGAGGACGATTGAAAAATGTCACATCACTTTATTTCTGCCAATTATGTTTATGTTTATGTACAGAATGAGGGAAAGAATATAACAAAGCTTTCAATGGAAAGTTATTATTTTAAATGGATTACTTCCTGACACAGAAAGGTGCTGCAGGTTGACCTCCCTGCAGTATGACAGTTTTTGCCTGTGTGTGTGCATGTGCTCGTTTCACTGCCAGGAGACAGATTTTAATGAATATCATAAAACGTCGTCATTGGATGTACATCCACAGCTGAACACCATTGGAAGTAAACACAGTTCAAGATGGCCACCACAGCTAATTGAACTTAGCCAACACTAACATGACTATTGATGTAATAATGGGTTGCAGTCAGGGCATGCTGCTTCACAGATGTCAAATCTGATATTTTGTTTTTTGAAGCAGCACGCCAACGTCGTTTCTAAATAACTGAATCACATCCCTCAAAGTTATATTTCTAGTGCTCGCCGTGTTTGTCTGTATTCAAGTGATTTTCACTCATTGTGTTGTGATTTCCAGGCTGACAAGGCCCGAACGTTTGGAGCCAGAGTGTTTTGTGTTGGAGTAATGGACTTCGACCCCACGCAGGTGGGAGGCGCTTCATTTTATACCTTTTCCTTGTTTATCTCTTCTAATTTGGACTCCCCGCAGCTCTGAGGGAGATATGTCTGTAACTGATACAGCTGCTTGTTTGAACAGTGATGTTTTATTTGACTTTCTGTGCGAGCGGTGTGTGTGTTGAGCTGTGAGAACTTAAGCCAACTGTTGTTTTTGGCCCAGATGGACTGACAAATACTATCACCTTGTTGCTCAGTTTGTTGGAGTTAAAACCTAAAAGCTGACAAAAGCTGAAAACTTGTTTACTCTGTGTTTTCTTTGTGTAAAAACAGTGAATATGTTTCAATAGGAAGCAGGTCTTCAGTCGTTTCCTCAAATCTGTTTTTCATGAGCGATAAGGATCCCGGACGAGCCCCCATTAATGTAACGACACCGACTCAGCCAGGAAAGGGGGAGGAAACATTCAAATCAGGTGGAATGAGGTTTTGAATAGGATTAATGATTTATTTAGTCAGTTAACCAAAACTAAACAAAAAGAGATTACTTTCAAATTACCAAAGATGTTTAATGATTATAACTTCTAACAAAAAAACATTTTAATGTTAAACAATTGATTTAAGCCTCAGCCCTTATTGATGCAGGATTATAACAAAGATTATGAACTAGTAAGCCTTCTGGCTGTCTTCAGAAGCTTACAAACAACTCCAATTTCAGGAATTAACTCTTAACCAAAGCCAAACATTTCAAGTCCAAAGACACCCATGCAAAATGACGAGCTGCTCTAAATAACAACCGCTCTGAATGGCAATGCCGGGTAGACAGCAATAGGGAATACACCAGGGATTAGCTCAGATTGCAAATGAACCAAATGCACAGGCCTTGGCACATTTTAACACCCTGAATAATAGCACTATATGCACATGAAGACCGGTTAGAAAATGGCAAAGTTGCAGCTACATTTGTAGAAAAACAGATTGAGAACCGCTGGTATCGTTCAACATGAGGCCTGGATGCTGATCTGCAGGCTTTCCTGTGAGAGACACTAATCCAGCCAACGAAACAGGTTCAAAACAAGGATCAGGTTTGCAGTCAACATCAATTTTTCCAAAATTAGGCTTACTCTTAATGAATCCCACACCTTTTGGTTGAGATTGTACATTTTGCGTTTTCCGTTTCAAAGCTAAACAGTTGGCAATAACATGCCCTTTTTGTGACAATAGAAACATTCTTTACCATAATTTTGCTGTACTGTCTTGGTTTTCTCGCTCACCGATTTAACAGAAAGGTTTTTAGTTGAAACCGATTGAAAAACAGTTTTGTGTGTAAGCACATATTTATCATCTAGAAAAGCAGCAGAAGAATATTCATTCAAGTGCATTAAAATACGATCTGGGAAACAGTTTTTGAACTCTTCCAATAACATTCACTCTCTTAAGGTATCAAAGTGACTTTTTGTGAACAGCACCATATACAGCATCATATCAAGTGCGAACTTAAAACACTAAAACATAAAACTCTATAATGGTTGAGAACCATTTATATGTTGTGATTTGTGGGTTTTTCTTCCACAGGCAGCAACGTCTCATTACTCTAATTAGATTTGCAGCACATAAGGGACAACGCTGTAATTACATTTGAGAAATATAATACAGCTGTATCACATTTCTGCTGGCATTGTTTTGCTTTTTGTTGCAGAAGCCTTTGAAAATAATATCTGTGTGAGAATTATTAATAAATCAGCTACTGTGCCTTTTACCTCCTAAAACCTTCAGTAGCAAGTGGTCTTCTGTGTGGTTACTCTGCTCAGTGGGCTAAACAGGAAGTAATCACATCACTCTAATTGTATAATACGAGACAAACTTCCTGCTCTGCCATCGTTAAAGCGCGAGATGAAAGCCGCTGCTGAAGCTTTCATCTCCTGGAAACAGGCTCGTGCTCGCTTCATGCTGCAGGAGCAATGGGCTGAAGACCTCCCTCAAAGGCAACTCGTAGAGCTTCACACATAGATGTACATTTATTTAACCAATTCAAATGGTTTTCGCTTTGGTTGCAGCTGGCGGAGATCGCAGACGGCACAGAGCAAGTGTTTCCAGTCATGTCCGGCTTCTATGCCCTCAAAGATATTGTTAAAAAGGTGAGGTCATCGTGTGTGTGATGGCATTGTTTATCTAACTGATCAACTCAGCTGCATCCTGCATCTGTTCCTCTGTGTCGCAGGTCCTCCAGCAGTCGTGCAGTCAAGTGTTCACAATAGAGCCTTCCAGTGTTTGTGTCAACGGTAAGGCTATATCGTCCTGGTGAGAAACGCCACTGCCATTAAAGATTACAATACACGATTGGCAGAGCTTAAGGTTTCCTAGCAGAACATTACCTGAAGCGTTAAACTTTTATTTGTGCTTTATTGCATCCTGGAGAAAGTCCTACAAGTTCTTGATGGAAAAAAAAGAAAACTAAAGTCATCTAGATTGTCCAGTATTTCAGTGCTCATGGTCCGTTTGCAATAGTTTTAATGGTGGACAATAGCCAGTGTGCCCTGTCACCCAAAATGGAATAAGCGGGTAAAGATAATGGATGGATGGATGAATAGCCAGTGTGGACATCTTGGATGAGCTGCAGGGTGCATTGCACTGAAACAGCATTAACTGTGAGCTAGGTGCATCATTGAACTGTCAGTTCAGCAGTTTTACCAAAGTTCATGCTCAATAATTCAGGTAAAAAATCCAACAAAGTTCATCCAGGTCATCTGGTTGGTTTCTTTTGTTGTTGTTGTTGTCGTCGAGACGTTTCATCCTTTATCCAAAGGACTTCATCAGTCCGAGGAGCCACAACAAACTCAGTCCCACAAGCAGCACACTCACATAGTGGACCAACCAGTTTGCTGGTGATAAGATGGCTTCTGGGGTCCACCCTCTCCCCCATCAACTCCTCTGAGGTACAAAGTGGTTCATGACATCAAAGTTCATGCTCAATAATCCAGGTTAAAAAAAAATCCAACAAAGTTCAGTCAGGTCATCTGGATGGTTTCTTTATGTTGTTGAGACGTTTGATCCTTCATCCAAAGGACTTCATCAGTCAGTAGTTTTACTTCCTTGAGGCATTTCTGGTAGTTTTTTTTTTTTTTTTTTACCCCCCCAGACTGAGACTGAGACTAACATCCACATTAGCTGCAGTTTTGGAGATATTTTCAAGCAAACCTTCAGTTCTGGGTGAAAATCCCTAAAATCTTCACATCATTTCTCCTTTTCCAAGTCACCAACTCCAAGACAAAAAGTTCATTTGCTGCCTGATATATCGTATCTCTACAAAATGATATTTTCAGGAGACCATCAGTTTTTTTTTCAACTTTACTTTTAAACTATGACCTTTGACTATGAAATTGTGACATTTTATTGTGACATTTAACTATGAAAGTTAACGATGGTCCCATAAAATGATACAATTTATAATCTTTTCTTTGGATTGTAGGGGCAAGATGTTGCAAAAACACTAAGAGAAGTGTGTAGCTGTGTGGAGGATGTAAAAGGTACACAAAGAGGACATGGAACAAAATAAAAGCACAGAAGAACGGATTAATGTTTACAGAGGTTTCCATGGATAAGACACGATCCCTCTCAGATAATGTTCTATAGACACAGGAAACCAAACTGCAGCTCTGTGGGGGATGCAGAGCAGTCAGTTGTTTATGCACAACTAAATGATGCCCACAGGGAGGAGAAACACCCCATCATGTGCTGCTGAGCACGGTGGAGGTCCTGTCATGCTGTGGAGCTGCTGTGTTGCTTCTGCTTCTGGGAGCTTGTAAATATAAAATATAAGGTTAAATAGAACAATAATGTTGAATACCGACAAACTAGATTCCAGGTGATTAGTGCCACTTTTATATTTTTGCTACCATTCTGCTACTTTTAGCTTTAATTTAATCTTTTGCTACTTTGTATTTTCAGCTACCGTTATAGTGCTTTTAGCTAGTCTTTTGCTACATTTCACTAGCTGTTATAACTTTTAGCTTCAGGCTACTATTTTATTATTAGGGATGCACAATATTATCGGCTTGGTATCAATATTGGCTGATATTAGCGGTAAAATTAAATATCGGACATCGGCTATTCCATCAAAATAACTCACCGATATAAAAGGTGTCGTTTCTTTATTTATATATTATATATTTATACAGTGTTGCATCATTTTCAGCCCCCTTTTTGGCATCTGCATTTGGTAGCAAGCCAGACTGACAAAGACCATACAGAATAATGCAGTATTTTAATTCCATAGCAGAGAAAGTTATGTAGTCTCTGTAAGAAGGTCTAAAAAAAATTGGTATTGGTATCGGTTATCAGCCAAATAAGTTTTAACATATTGGCATTTCGGATATTGGCCAAAAATCCAATATCGTGCATCCCTATTTAATATTTTAGCTTTTAGTGACTTTTGTGACCTACATCTTTTAGCTAGAGTTTTGCTGCTTTTGGCCGTTAACATGTTTTCTACTTTTTATGTTTTTTTTTTCTTTGACTTTAACATCAAGGATTTGAGGATTCAAGGTTCTTTATGTGTCATTCCACCACATGTGGTACATATGGTGGAACGAAATTGTGTGTACAGGGTCCCAGTTACATCCAACAAAAGTATTAAAATGTAAAAAAAAAAACAGTAATAACATCTAAGATATGAACTAAGAAAAACGTTAATAAAAATACTTATTCTTATCTGTAACTATACATTAACAAAAATACACTAAGCACTAGTAGTATAAAAACAATACACCGAACAGCAGCACGAACATGAGTCTGTGTGAGCAGATGAGTACGAATGAACACAGTTTTCCGTCATTCAGCATTTGCATTTTAGCTGAAAATGCCATTTCTCAAATTTTATATAAATTCATGGTTATTTCTCTACTGTTAATAATTGTAATTTAATAAATAAAGGGTTGTTTTCTGGATTTATGCTCATAGTTGTGTTTTGTGTCTTTCAGAGTCATTTAACGTGGTGTTGAGGGGCACTGGGTTTAGTGGATCCAAGAGGACAGACAACATCCTCTGTGTCCTTTCTGCCAATGAACTACTTTACAGTAAGCAAAACCCGCAACGTGATCATGTCAACACACGTTTTCACAGCTTAATGCTACAAAGTTCTTCAGCGCTACGGTTCACTTCACACTTGAGCTTCAGCGTCCACACGGCTCTAAAATGTTCTCTGTGATTAAATTATTCAAGAAGTGAAATCTGATACTGTGGGGCTCCGGTGGAAAGTCGAAGTCATGACGAGATTTAGGCATAAACAAAGGCGGCCTTTTAATGGCCTCCACCAGAGAACAGAGGACATGTTATGAGACTGAACAGAGGGAGGAGATGCTCTGCCATTAGTCTGTTAACGGATCGATGGCAGGAACTGTGGTCGGAGTCACAGAGAGGACACGAACAGAAAACACATGATTCATGTTAGACAGCTGTTTGGTTCTGATGGAGGCGTTCACTGCTGGCTTTGATCTTTCGAATACTTTTGTAAAAAAACTATTAAAGCCACAAAACAAGCATAAAATGCTGCATTTAATCTGGAAAGGTATTTACTAATCGAACGATGTAAAATTAAATGTTTCAGTCCTACAACAAGTCAAAAGAATAAACACCACTGATCAGTTTTTACCGTAAGCCAGTTATCAGCCACTACGCTGAAAGGTGGGCAATCATGTGCTTGTGTTAGCAAAATGTCTTGTGAAGCGCTGAATGAAAATAAAACTAGATATGCATAAATAACTGATTACCCTTTGGAGTCCTTCCAATTAAAAATGGTAAGGGCTAATCAGTGTTATCAAACAAAATAAAAACGGCTATAACTCGGTTATTTGTTACAGACTCTGAGCTCAAATCTACAGTGGCCCTGAGGTGTAAATGAACAACATAAAAAAAAAAAAAACAGAATTACATTTGAGAAAAAAAACCACAACAAAAACACAACATTTGAAAAAACGGAATTACATTTGAAATGAATTACATTAAGCCAAAGCGGAAGTGGCTGGAATCACATTAGAAAAAAGCAGAATTACATTAGAAAAATTGAATAATTCAGAAATTATATAATTTCCATTTTTTCTAATGTAATTCAGTTTTTTCTAGTGTGATTCCAGCCACTTCCACTTTGTCTTAATGTAATTCCGTTTTTTCAAATGTTGTTCATTTACACCTCAGGGCCACCGTACATATCAGTTGTGGTCACAGCCGAGAGTCATCCAGCTCACATTATACAGTATATTTGTTTAAATCTTCAGCGAGCAAGGCTGCAGATGATACGAGCTTCTTCCAGGAATGTGACATTTATCATACTGATTTATTGTGACTTTGATGGCTGTTTTTTTTTTTTTTCCTCTGCTTCTTATCAGATGAGAAGCCAACAGTAGTTCGAGACGGCTATCTGCTGTGTCCCGCTCCCCGTCTGCACGAAGTTGGACAGTAAGTTCAGACAAAAACAACTCTGTGTGTGAAGCTGAACTGAGTCAAATACTTGAGTCAAAGGTCAGTGATTATTTGAGTAGTGAAAACAAAACTCCTTTAGTTTATTCAGTTCAGCATTTTGTGCCCAGAGAGACAAATTAAGGTATTTAAAGCAATCAAAGGGTTGCATGGTGCGTTTGAAAATAATTATCTTTCAGATCAGCTGGAAGATATTTCCAAGTTTTTTCTTGTTATAGTACAGTTAGCATACTTGGTCATGGTTCCAGTGACAACATATTTGTTATCTTAAAATATGCCAATAACTAAATACATAATTAAATACTATATGCATACATGCATACATGTATACATACATGCATAGATGCACACATACATACCGTACATACATATATACCATACATACATATATATCATACATATCATACATACCATACATACATACATGCATGCATGCATACACCGTACATATATACCGTACATATTTGCATACATACATACATACAAAAATAAGTAAAGTTGTTTTATTTTCAAATAAAGATATTGGGGGGCCAGACAGAGATTATTCAAAGGCCACATTTGGCCCTTGAGCCATATGTTGCCCATGTGTGGTATACAGTATACTCCTTATATATCCATATATAATATTTATGTAATGAAATATTTTTATAGAAACTGTTCTTGTTTTTTTTCTGTACTAAAAACAAAAAACAACAAATATAATGGAATATAACTGGTGATTGAAAAATCAACATTTCCTTCTGGCGTCACATTTAACATCACATGGTCTTACAGATTTATCCGACAACAGCAACTTCACAGAGGAGTTTCACGACAGAAGTGCTTTCTTTAAGAGCACTAGTGCACAGTGGTTTTTCTAGTTGGGCACTACTTTCATCAATTTTTCATAAAGAATATGGACAAAAATGTAGATTCTGCCATATTGTACAGCAAACGCCTATTTTTCTTTTTTTTTAGCTGGTCAGGGCATTAAGGTAATTTTGTTCAACACAATTTTGTGACAATACATTTTTCTTTTTAGAGAAGAAATCTGGTTAGAGCGAGCGCAAGAGTGAAACAAGCAGAATGTTTATGGTAAAACTGTCTCGAGGTGTTGGGTGAACTGGGGTGAGTCTGGTTGGGATATCTCGGTGGCATTTAAAGGCCCACTCCAGTTCAAACAGCACTCTGTTCAAACCTGTCACCCCTCCTCACCTCACACACTCTTATCTCTCCTTCCCTGGAGCAACCAAAGATTTATTAAACTATCAGTTTAATAGGTACCGGTAACGTAAACAAATATGTACAGTAAATATTTTTTTCATTCTAGACATCTTCTTTAAAAAAATAAAAATAAAATCCCGGGTGTGACGAGGCTAAATGTTTTTGGCGTCAGGAAGCTCATTAGATTGTCAAAAAACAAACAAACAAAAAAAAAATCCCACAAATTAGCTGCAGCATTGTATAAGCCATGGTGTTCAAAGCCTGTGAAAAAAGTAGTGGCTTATAGTCTGGAAATTACGGTGTATATTTTGTACATTATCAAGGCAGTATTAAGCTCTAGTAAATTGCATATTTTAGAGCAGGCATGATGAATATTTTGTCGGTTCTATCCTAAAAATATGATCCATTTGTAATTCTTATAGCTTTGTTGGTTTTATAGTTACACACACACAAAACATATGTGCATCAATGGGGTGCCGTTTGTAAAGTTACACAGTCACAAAATTAGCAGCAATATTTTGGTTTATTTAGCCTTTCATAAAAAAAAATTTAAAAAAAGTTTTTTTTTTCAAAGTCGTATTTTCACCATGTCATTCATACATTTATAAATGTCATAATTCCAAGCTAAATATTTAATTTACAAGCTAAATATTTTGTTTACAAACTAAATACTGAACTTGCAAGTTCAATATTTAGTTAGCAAGCTAAACATTTAGCTCCACACTAAATATTTAGTTAGCAAACTTAATATTTATGTGCAAGATAAATGTTTAATTTATACACTAAATATTTAACTTGCAAGTGAAATATTTAGTGAACTAAATATTTAGGTGTAAATTAAATACCTAATTTCCAAACTAAATATTTGTTGTCCAAGCTAAATATTTAATTTCCAAACTAAACATTGAATTTCTAAGCTAAACATTTAATTCCTAAACTAAATATGTAATTTACTAAATATTTAGCTTGAACCTAAATATTTATTTTCAAAGCTAAACATTTAATTTCCAAAATAAATATTTAATTTACTAACAAAATATTTAGCTCAGACCTAAATATTTATTTTCCAAACTAAATATTTAATTTACTAAATAAATATTTAACTTGCAAATCAAATATTTAGTTTGTAAATTAAACATTTAGCTTAGACATAACTATTTAGTTTGTAAACTAAATATTTAGTGTGGAACTAAATATTTAACTTGCTAATTAAATATTTAGCTTGCTAGCTAAATATTTAGCTTGCAAGTATTTAATTTGTAAACTAAATATTTAGCTTATAATTTAACTATTTAGTTTGGAACTATGACATTTATAAATGTATGAATGACAAAGTGAAAATATGGCTTTGAAAAAAAAGTTTGTTATGAAAGGCTAATAAATAAACCAAAATATTGTTGTTAATTTTTGACTGTGTAACTTTACAAACGGCACCCCTTATGCAGCATCTAAATAATGTAGACAAATAAGGAAATCTAGTAAAATTAATGAATATAATAAAGACAAGAGCTTCCTTTTTCTTAATGTTTAATTGTGTTACTAATGTTGGGAGGAAAATCTGGTACAGTTGCACCTATTTAGCTTGTTTAACCTTAAGAATGATCAAAGAAATTACTTCATGAACCATCTTTTTACTACCTTTTGAATATGATTATGGATAACTTGATCAGCTATATCTAAGTGAGGGCCCTGTTTGTGTTTTTTTTTAAAATCACACTGAATATTGAACATGGACAATCTTTGACTAAATTCTTCTAATGTTTTATTATTATTATTATTATTAATTTTATGTTTGCTGATTACAGATCAGTTGAAGTGCTGGTTAGCCTGAACAATGGGAAATCTTACATCTCTGGTCCAGTAACTATACATGCAACTACATGTGTGAGTATTCATTCAAACTATAGTATTTAGTAGCAAATAAACTCCAGTGTGTGGGAGTAAGGGCTTTAAAGTGATGTGCATGCATGGTGTCAATGAATCACTATAAATGAAGATAATTATATTTATGAACGAACTGTATTTATGTCACAGAGAGTCTTGTTTGTTGCAGTCAGATGGGACCTGGGTGCTGTGGCTGCTGTTGGCTCTGCTGCTCTTACTGGCTCTGGGTTTACTCTGGTGGTTCTGGCCCCTTTGCTGCACTGTGGTATGTTTGGACTTCGTTTATTTACACATATGCTTATTTTTAGTTCCTCTATTATAAAACAAAAACCGTTAAGGGGACAGCTGAGATTTCTGAGCGGAGCTATTGTGACTATTCTCAAATAATATCAAACCTGTGGCAGATAGCTCTTTGAATAACCTGCACTTGGAGAAATAGAGTTAAACTCTGGTCAAGCAGGGTCAAGACCGCTGTGGACCAAAGGTTTAAAACAGCTGCAGTCGTTAGCCGTTAGCTTGCCACTCTGGTCAGACTCCATTTCTCCAACGAATGCTGTTCAAAGAACTATCTACAACAGGTAAGATGTTAACTGTTCATAACCTCTTCACAGAACCCCACCTTTAAAGATGTAAACGATCAATGGTCCACTAAGGATGTCTAAGAATTTAAAAAAAGTTATTCTTATATCAAGTTATTCAAGGCTAGAAATAGTTTTTAGCCATTTTTCTGTAAATATGTTTGCTTCACACAGGTCATCAGAGACCCACCCCCGTCTCGCCCACCTCCTCCACCTCCCATCATTGTGAGTAGAACTTGGATCGTCCCACAACGTATTTTCTGAAGGTCAGAATCTTCATCTCGCTGCCGTCTTGGCAGAGATGATTGAGAGAAAATCTAAATGTGGGTGAACGCAGAAGGAGCGTCGGTGGAGCTTGGGAGGGAGGCAGAAGATGTTTGGGCAGACTTTTTTATTTGTGGCGCTTGAGTGAGAAAACAGCATAATTTACATTTCAGTGTTACATGTTAGAGATTATATGTTCCAGCCTGAGGAGTGTCAGAATGTGGAGTCTCAGCCTCAAATTTGAATTTGAAACACTTCATAACTTTTATACTAAATTCAACCGTTCAAAACTAGAAGCGCACACGAGTATTGACTACAATGTGTTTCTTCTTTAAGGAGCCAGAGGAGGAGCCTTTCCCTAAACACAAGTGGCCGACAGTGGACGCCTCGTACTACGGAGGGAGGGGTGCTGGAGGGATCAAACGCATGGAGGTAAAGTAAAAAAAGGTCTCAGTGTTTTCCTTTGATTGTATTTCTAGTTCATTTTAGAAGTCTTGAAATGTATGTATATGTATGTATATTAGGGGTTGAACAACTACATATTTTTAAAAGTCAGCGCAAACATGATAATAGTCGAGTTGACGTTGACTAGTTGATGACGTCATAGGAACACAAGACGCAAAAAAAAAAAAAAAAATCACAAAAAAACATCTATTATTTACAAAAAAAAGAACAAGAAAACATCGGGAGCGTATATTTATGCTCCTACCATTTATCATACTGCAAATAAGTAACAGGAAAACCAAAACTATTAAGCTGCAAAAGTTCGATTTATTTTATTTAATCCACTAAATAAAATAAATCACCGCAGCGGTGGTGGCGGTGGTGGATTCTCCAGTGGAGCGCACCCCTGTTTTTATTTATATTTTATTTAGTGAATTAAATTAAATAAAACTAAAAACAGGAAGCGGGCGGCGGTGGGATCCCATCGTGGATTAAATAAAATTAAACTAAAAACATAATCTTTAGTGAAGTACTTCCACACTGTTGATACCTGTTTGGGAAGACTCGCCTGCTCCTCGCCTTCCATCTGCTTGGAAGAATCCGTTTTGTAGCCGCGGCCCGGCGCCGATCACATGACACATCACACCAACTGCGATTAGTCGGTGTGAAATTTAAACTCGCAAGTTGTCCTAGAACCAACTAGTCGATTAGTCTATGCAACCCCTGACGTTAACATATATATTTAATAAATACTTGCCTTATCTCAGTGACGACAACACAGTAGGTTTTCCCATCTCTTGTAGGTGCGATGGGGGCAGAAGGGCTCCACAGAGGAGGGGTCGCGACTAGAAAAAGCCAGAAACGCTGTAGTCACTATGCCGGACGAAGTGGAGGAGCCCATCATTCCTCGACCCCCACCAAGACCTCCTCCAGTCTACAACCCCCCATCCCAGTCCAAATGGTACACTCCCATCAAGGTGAGGAAACCATCCTATTTATTTGCTTCCGCTGGGTGTCACGCTGCTGTTGCACGACTTAAACCTAACTTTGTTTCGAAACGTCAGGGGCGTTTTGATGCACTGCTGGCCTTACTGAGGAGACAGTACGACAGAGTGGCAATCATGAGGCCGACACCTCAGGACAAGGCAAGAAACACCTTGAACATTTCATTACATCATATAAAAGCAGAAAAAATCAAATAAAATACGCAGCTGCTTGCAAGAATGACCTGCTGACGTTAAAATAATTTGTTTATGATCATCCCCATCCATTTTGATTGGAAATTGAACTGAACGTGCCGTTTACGCAGTGATTTGATAGCAGTTGATCTTCTCGCTCCAATTATCTGCATGTCAGATAACTAACAGCGTACTGCGTCACCAGGTTTGTTATAAATAACAGTTGGCGCCTGCACAGCTTGACATCGAACACAGCCCACGCAGATTGAAAGCTCTGCAAAGACCCAAGATTGCTTTTTTATTATTTTAGCTCAATTTTGACTGGAATCAACATAAATTCAGGAGATTATTAGTATTTATTAGGATGTTTATCAGTCTGTGCTTTTACTGTGGCTGATCAGTGGAAGCTGAAATTTTATTTGCATATTTTGTAGGGATGCACGATATTATCGGCATGCTATCGATAAATATTAGCGATAAATATCGGACATTCCATCAAAATAACTCACCGATATAGAATGCTTGTTTTAAGTAAATTTATAATTTAAAAAACTGTTAAGTGCATCTATTAATGCACTACTACTTATGCGCTTTTTACTTGTCGCTTGTGAACAGGTTGAGTTTAGGTTCGTGAAAATTTATAAATTTGCATGCGAGTGTTGTCATTATGTTAGAGATTAAATGTCATGAATAAATGTGACAAACATAATCCAAGTTGAAATGTTACATCATTGTCAGCCCCCATCTGCATTTGGTAGCAGGCCAAACTGACAAAAACCATTCAGAATTATGTCGTATTAATTTCACAGAGAAAGCTATTTAGTCTCTGTAAGTAGGTCTAGGGGAAAAAATATCTGTATTGATATCGGTTATCGGCAAAATACGATTTAACATATTGGAATATCTGATAAAATTTCAATATTGTGCATCCCTAATAATTTGTTATGGCATTTAAGCATGATAGATTTAACTTCAACCTGATTCTTGTTCTTTTTTTTGGCTAAACTATTTTTTCTCCGTTGTCTTTAGGGTCGCTGCATCAGCTTCACCAGAGTTCAGTCTCACTGACGTGAAAACACGAGGATCATCTTCTCTTCCAGATACGAACGTCAAGCATTTTGTGTTTTGTAAATAAACATTTTAACAAATCATCGCAGCCGCTTCTTTAAAAAAAAAAAAGCAAACGATGAAACACGCTCTGTCGTTCAATTTATTTTATTACAAGTACCCCCCTTCTAACACAAAAGATGCACAAAAATCGTCCAATGACACAATAAAGACACGTTAAAGGAGTGCCTTTAAAACACAACGAAGCGTCACTTTCACTTGTAGCTGGATATTCAAACTTCACTCTCACATGATCGCAAGCTTAAAAAAATAAAGGTACGCACACAAATATACATCAGTTTGTGCTTCATTCTTTCCACAAATACTTTCTTGTTTTGTAATACATGAACTGGTATAAAAGCTTCGATCACAGAGCCAGCCAACCAGCAACAAGCTCATTGTGAAACCCATAATTAAAAATAAAGCACATTATAGGCTTTTGATATAAAATGCAGCTTAATGCCATAAACATGAAAAGACTGGTGCAAACAGTCACAGAATGCTATAATCCACAAAAACACACTGACGTGCATTTGCTTTGTTGATTTTGTATGATGTTGTTGCCACTTGCACAATTTTGCATCACAGCTAGTCAAAGTGCAGACGCGAGATGTTCAAATGCAGAGAAAATGCCGTGCACAGACAGAGGATGTGCTTCCATGAGTCTGTGGCTGCCGCTCTGACTTTCAATTAAAAAATGAGCGACTCCAAGTAAAACAGCACTTCACAGCTCCTAATTTAAACCACACATCACCATCGGTTTAGTCTTTTTTTTTAAAGGTTCTGTGGTTTTCAGGTCCATCGTGTGGAGCAGTGGTGATGATCAAGTCCATAAATCTTTCATTCCAAAAGAAAATCTGCTGATCTGAAGTGTGAACTTTTCTGAAGTCGCCTTGGTGGTTAGCCATTTTGTTACAAATGTAAATCTGCGAGTCCGTTTATTTCCTGCAGGTTCTTTCAGACAGAGCAAAGCTTTCAAATAATAATAATAATTCAAGTTCTTCTTGTATCACTGGGTTAAACTCATTACAGCTCAGAGGTTCATAATGTCTCAGACGCTCAATAAACTTGATCGTGTTTCTGCTTTACGAGTCGTTCATGTTCCTTGAAAGCTTAAATGTCTCGTGTGTGAGGACAACCAAGCTGCGTCCATTGTTCCACTGAGCACGGATGGTGTAAACTTTGACCACGAAGACAGGAATGAAGAAAACGCCTCGTTTATTAACAAAATGTAAAGTCTTTTTCTTAAGATCGATTCTCTCGATGGAGAAGGGAAGATCTGAAAAACATAAAAAAGGTTATTTTAACTGTAGTGATATAGATTTTCATCAGTTTAATGATTTATTAACGTGCCTGCACCTACCTAAGAGACCTCCGACTGTCTTTCTCGATGTTGTTCTCAGGTCCTTCACTCTCGTATGAAGCCAGATGCAGCTCTACAGCAACAAGACAGATTGGGTTTGTGATCCCGGTTGGAAACTGAAAGCTGCATTATATGTATATAATTCTATAAATGGGGACTGACCGTCTTCAGTATAAACAGGTGTTGTGACAAGATACTGAAGGATGCGGCGTTCTCTGTCGAATGGGCAAATGACCTGACGCCAAACCAGGAACTCGCTCACCTGTTTCGCGAGCTCCCACAGTTTCTTTTAGGACAAAATGACAAAGATAAACAATTAAAAAACAAGCATTTCTTTAAATGTCAGCTTACTGTATATAAATTACTGAATTACTGAAAAAATATAAATGGACAGAGTTATGAGGAAGGCAGACACACATCCCCTAAGATCCTCAAAGAGCCTCAGGCAAAAGCATTATTATTATTATTGGGGCAGCTGTCACTGAGTGGTTAGAGCAGTCGTCCTCCATTGCAAGGTTGGGGGTTATATTCCACCAGCAGTCATATGCCCAAGTGTCCCTGGGCAAGACACTGAACCCCTCATTGCCTCTGATGTGTGTCCCATCAGTGCATGAATGTGATAAAGCACTGATTATTCTTTGTACAGATCTAGTAGAGTGCTGTATGAATGGGTAAATGATTGTGTTGTAAAGAGCTTTGAGTATCTTAATAAGATAGAAAAGCACTATATACGTACAGTACATTTACCATTATCGCGGTGCCTTTGGTTTTCGACAGTGAGCGGTAATTAAATGTAACCAGGTGACTTTTACATAATCAAGAAATACAAAAAACTAAACATTTGTTTATAATTCACTCGTCTCAAAATGCCTCAAGACAACAGCTCATGTGCTCTTTGTTTGTATATATACATGTACATGAGTATGTTTGCTTAGATGTGTATTTATGAATACATATAACTAGGTTAATTATGAATGTAGTACTAACTACCACCTTGTGCATGTGCATATTGTCTTTCCAAATTTGTGTATTCTGCTTCTTTTTGGATTATTTTATATGTTGTTTTTTCTCTATATTATAATATGCTAATGGATGCCTCAAATTTCCGTCTGGGATTAATAAAGTATCTATTATCAAAATAAAAATTTGTTTGTTTTTTTTGCCACAAGGGGGCGCAACCATTACATGTGAAATTCTGCTTTTAAGCCAAACTAAACTTGAACCAACCTCAAAGTTGATGTGTCCGTTTGGCAGCCTGTTGGCACAGCCTTCATTCAAGAAGTAGATATCTTTAATGAGGAGACTAAAGAAAGGAATCACAATCTGTAGGGAGAAGACAACAAATCGACTTATTTAGTTTTTAAACTTGAAGTTCAATTTTAGTGATCAATCTTGTGCGCTTCCTCACCTTCTCCTGGCTGCTGTGTGCGGTCTCAGACCTCTGGGTGGCGCCACGAAGCGCAGTGCGGTAGTTACTGAAGTTACTGGATGGGTCCATCTGGTGCTGAATGAGAAACATTTTTAACAAAGAGAAATGTTAGCAAACACACACCAAATATTAGAAGTCCTACACAAGAGCTAAAAGCTATAATAAAATCCTAAATGATTCTTACCTCCAGGATTTCAAACTTGTCCGTGTTGACTTTGTTCCAGGTTTTCTTCAGTCTGGCGACGGGACTCATGTTCATCCCAGCTGAGAAACAGAGGAGACGTGAAACAGACTGAAGACATAACGCAGGCTGGAGAGCTCCAGGCCTCCACTAACCGAGTTTATACTCCCCTTAAACTGATTAGTGTTAGTCTAAACTCCAGCTGCCACCGCATTCGTTGCCTTTAGTCAATTTAGTGGCTCTGCTGTAGAGAAACCAGGAGAACTACAGACTGTGTCCTGATTTACAGAAGGCAACAATAAACAGGGTTGTGACATGAACACTGAATTTAAAACTATGCTATAAATAGCAATAATCTACAGCAGAATGGGATGTTCTACACAATTAACGTGCTGAATTGTCTCCCTGTGTAGGGGAGGTACAATATTTTTTATCTTTAAGTTCAAGAGGGGTTTTTTTGCACATTTTATGTCAAATACTCACTGATTATAGCCATGAGAGAGTTAAAGTTGCCAATGTTGAAACACTCCTGAGCCACGTCGATGAAAAACTCTATGATCCGCGCTCTGTGCTTCTTCTTTGCCGGCTTATGTAAGAAAACACAAAACGGTCAATTGAACCATTTTTTAATGACGATACAAATGAGTCATTATTTTGGATTACTATTTTGATAGTTTTATTAATTGCCACGCTGCTTTGGACATCTTGTACTGACGTAGTTTTATGACAATAGCAGGTGTAATTTAAGTGTAACGCACCATACAAATCTCAGTAGCCACTAGGAAGCTCAGCCGGTTGAACCAGTTGACGTAGGCCTCGAGGTTGCTTGTTTTACGTTTCCGGAAAAAACCCTAAAGTATAAACAAAGAACAGAAGTTGCTTGATTAGAAAATATGGCATCACATGTCAGGAATCTAAACAAAGGAATGGTGTCCTGTTAGTCAGAAGTAAAAAAAATAACAGCTTATGTTACGTGACAAATATACACCTAACATTTGTGGTGAGATTTTTTAATCATTCACACTATTGTGATCCATTTTTCTTCTGTACGTTTTCAGCATCTTTCTCGTTCCACAATTTGTGGCTGTTCCAACAAATCATGCATTAAAACGTTCAGCTCGCTCAGGAGAAGGGCTATGACATTTGGTATTGAGACAACTTTAGCTTTCTGAAAGCTTTTCTGCCCTTTTTTTTCTAATAGAAAATGAATTGAGCTCATTTTACATCCTTCAGATCTTTAGACCTGTTTACAAACATTTACTGCTCCTTTCACATTTTGTTCTGGTTCAGCTTCTTTCAGCTTCATTGTGCATTTTTTTTTAAATCAGCTACTTCCAGCTGTTTGTTTCAGTTGTTTTGTGCTCCATTCAGTGTCTTTCTGCTAGCTACAACATTTTTGTGCTTCTTCTATTTTCTTTCTGATCATTTCAGCTTGTTATACTCCTTTCAGCATATTTCTGCAAGTTTCAGCCTTTTCTGCTATTTCAGCTACTATTTACAGTAGCTGTTTTTATGCTAAAGTTAGTTTTTTCAGCTAATTCCACATTTTTTGCACTCTTAATTTTTTTCAGCCTAAATCAGCAAAAATGTGCTCTCTCCACCTTCTCATATTTTAGGCTTCTTTCTGCTTTTTTGGCTACTTTTCAGGTGTTTTTTTGCTCATTTCAACTTTTTTTTTAAACAGATAATTTCCACTTTTTTGTGCTCACTTCTGCTTCTCTCAGCCTAGTTGGTAAAAATTGTGCTCTTACTACTTCTGCTAATTGAAGCTTGTTCTACATTTTCAGCTACTTTTTAGCATTTTTTTTTACCCAATTTCAGCTGCTTTCAAATTAATTCAAGTTTTTTGTGTTAATTTCTGCTACTTTCAGCCTAAATAACTTATGTCTGCTCATTTAAACTTGTTATGCTCTTTTCCACAGATTTCTGCTAGTTTCAGTTTTTTCTGCGATTTCAGCTACTATTAGCTGTTTTTATGCTAAATTTAGCTTTTTCAGCCAATTCCACATTTTTTGGCTCATTTCAGCTCCAACCACTTCCTTCTGGTAGTTTAAGCTTCTTTCTGCTACTTTTCAGCCTTTTCTTTGTGGCTAATTGCAGCTTTTTAGCAAATTTCCTAAATTTTTAGCTCATTTCTGCTTATTTAAACCCATTTCAGCAAATATGGGTTCTTTCTTCTTCTAACTTAGGCTTGTTCTTCCATTTCAGCTACATTTTTTTTTCATTTAGCCTTTATTTATACAGGTTGTCTCATTGAGCCAAATGTCAGCATGTTTTTAGCTTATTTCAGCTGTTTTTCAGCAAGTTCTTCAGCAATAGGCATTCATACTGCATTTTTGCGGGAAATGCAACTTTTCAAGTTAGATTTGCGCTTGTTACATGCAACAATTTATTATTTCAGCTAAAACTTACTGATCATCCCCAACACCTCACCCAAACAAACCCGTAAAGGTGAAAGCACAGCGGAAAACAAAACAAATTCAAATTCAACACATCAAGTTTCCAGCAACACTTTGTTCAAGTTTGAAGAGTCAAGAAAATTCACACTTTGTGATATATTGACTTTCTTGCATTTAGTAATGAGAAACAATGAGACATCATCTGCATAGATGATGAATAACTCAATAAATGTCACAAAACAGTAAAAAAAAATTACTCTATAATTTCCTTTCCTAATGGATCCCGACAGCCTTCACACCCACACAACCTCTGGCCTGCATAATGTTTCTTCTTATTTACGTCTGCTTCTGGCTTCTTTGGTTTTCTACAAGACATGTGGTTTCTATGTAGTGAACTTGTTTTTCAAAGGTCCTCCTCCATTTAAAAAAAAAAAAGCTCTATATAAATAAACATGTCTTGGCTGTGGTGATGCAATTCCCAGAGATTCATGCCTCTACTAAAAGCTTACACAACACCCTGGCGTCCCACTCCACTCCAAACTCTCCCCCTCTCTACCTCAGGACCCCTTTCTCTGACACAGCCGCTCTCTTGCACAAAGTGGGTCTTATATAACTGCAGCAGCACTGGTGAGAGCCTGTTCTCAGCAGCACAGGCGAAACCGTAAACGAACCCTTCAGCCGATTTCTAGGATCACTTATGGCAGAAGGAGCCCCTCAGATGCACTGAGACATTCGCAGCGAGGCTCTTTTATGTTCCTTTGCAGACATTTTCAAAAGCTGAGATAAAAATAAAGCCGAACAAGTCTCCTTCAATCTACCAGAAGGTTCTTTCATGCGGTTTCTAACACAATTCACTTGAACTGAAGCAAACCACAACTAACTTACAGTCAAAGCAGGCACAGAGAACCCTTCAAATGAAAATAATAACAAATGACTTAAAAATAACTACGATATGTGGTTTTTGTGCGTCAGTCCTTTGATGCTGATAATTACAAGCAGGTCATTTCATTTCATTCTTAAGAAGCCTTTATGTTGGCGAACAATATGCTGCCCGCTGTAGCTGCTGAATGAGAGTTAAAGAAAAGATTTGGGGAAACACCCATTATCAGTAACTTTTATCGTTTAGAAATTTGTAACCTGCTGCAAGAACAAAGCAAACAAGAATAAAATAGAATACAAAACACTGAGACCCAAGCTGTTGAATAATCTATTTTATATGAAATGTTAAAGTTTAACATCATTGTTTTAGGTGATTTAAAGGTGGTCCAAAACAAACAAGTTGTACCTTATGGTTGTCCAGAGGATCCTTCATGGCGAATGACTGGATGAACTCCTCAGGACCGATAAAGCTCAGTCTGTCCTGGAGGCAGAAAACAGGATAAGTTATTTAAGAGCAAGGTGGTCTAATAATTCAAATAGAAAGAAAAAAAACAGTTAAAAAATGAAAACCTTCAGTTTGATTCAACTTTAAGTCAACATGTGCCTCCTCAGTAAATGTAATGCCAGGGCTTTCATCTCACGGCCTGACATTATTTAAGCTGCAGCTGGAAAAACAAGCTTTATCTTTATCTTTTTCAAACTTCTAACAATCAGCCCTGAAAGTGAACACAGGTTGGACACGTGCGCCCATCTCGCTGCTCTGGACGTCACCTCTGCAATGCGCACTGCACATAGGTGAATGGGTTATAAAACATCAAAGTTCATTCTCAATAATCCAGGTAAAAAAACAACAACAAAATTTAGTTAGATCATCTGGACGGTTTATTTTTTTTGTTGAGATGTTTCGTCCTTCATCCGAAGGACTTCATCAGTCCGAGGAGCCACAACAAACTCAGTTCCACAAGCAGCACACTCGCATACTGTAATTTTTGCTGTATAAATCACTGTTTTTTTGCATTAGCATGCCTACGACTTATACAGCCAAGCGACGTATTTATATATTTTTTCCCATAGTTATAAACTCATTTTTGGCTGAGATCTGATGGTTTCATTCATTCTGACATGGAAAATATTGAACACTACCATTTTCAGTCACTAGAGGGCTCTTGACTAATACGGCAAGCCAAGTGTCTCATTAATAGGTAAAAGTGGCTATTAATGAGGCACTTGGCTTGCCATACAGGCCATTTTCGTCTCGCTCTGGAACTCCTGTAGCAAACGTCATATCAGCTGGATTTTACCACGTCGCCCAGGCAAAATGCAGCTGATCTGACCATCAAAGTGCTTTTATTAAGGAAAAGTTTGACTGAGACGCATCTTTACTATAATGTTGAGCAAACAAATAATTGGTTTTAAGTGTTAATCTTGTTAAATTTTTTGTTAAAGTCCTCCCGTGGCCACCATTTGGCAGCCAATCGATTTTTGGTACAACACCGGCCCACATATCCAGGTGGTCAGCGGTGACACGTAACAAATGCAATGCGTCAACTGTGATGCATAATAGATGTGACTTATATGGCAAAGCAACGCATTTATGATTTTTCCACTTTATTAGACATATTTGGTCTGATGCAATGTGTACGGCAGCAAGTATGGTAGTGGGCCAACCAGTTTGCTGGTGATAAGATGGTTTCTGGGGATCGCAGTTTCCCCCGTCAACTCATCTGAGGCATCCACACCCAAAGTGGTTCAAAACATCAAAGTTCATGCTCAATAATGTCTTGGGCCCGGGCCCCAGAAACCATCTTATCACCAGCAAACTGGTTGGTCCACTAAGTGAGTGTGCTGCTTGTGGGACTGAGTTTGTTGTAGCTCCTCAGACTGATGAAGTCATTTGGATGAAGGACGAAACGTCTCAACAACAAAAAAGAAATCGTCCAGATGACTTGACTTAACTTTGATGGGTTTTAAAATAGTTTCGATAACTTTCTCTACTCCTTTTCCATCATGGCAGTTACCAAAATAAATTAATGACAGAAGAAGAAGATATGAATGCTCTGAGACAGAAGATTTATGTATTGGGACAATTTGGTACAAATACATGTACCGTTGCTCCATTACTTTCTAGCTCAACACATTTGTCCTTATTTTAACCAAAATGATAAATTTACTTCAAGTACAGTTAATATAAAGCAGCAGCTACAAGCCTCATTGAAAACACTGTTTTGTCACAGATACAACCTCGGACTCATATTTAAAATAGAAAAAGTAACTTTGTAAACGTGTAGCTATAGCACATCTAACATCTCACCAGTTCAATGTGTGTTAACTGCTGGGCAAGGATGAAAGGATCGTCGCACATGCTCAGTATGTCACTTCGCTGAGCTGAAGCCTGTTTGCTTTTCAGTGAAGCTGGTCGCTCCTGTGCCACAGCGTTGAGAGCAGCCACGGCCTCCTCGTACTGGCCGAGGGCAGACAGGCGCTTGATGAGCCGCTGAGTCATCTGCTGCATGGCTCGCCATGAGTACTGAATGCATAGATGACATGAGAAGATGCAAACTTTAAAAGAGACAACTAATGAGCTCTACTGGGTCACTTTCCATTATAGTTTTTGTTACTGTGAGTGTTTTAAATACAGTTGGGATTCTCACCTCATCCCCTCGGGCCACTTGGAGCGTCATGTCTTTAAGGCAGCGCATCATCCTCTCGTCTCTGAAGTCATATGGAAACGTCTCTGTCCACTCAGTCAAAAGCTGGACCAGTTTGGGCGCAACATCCCGGAAGCGAATCTGTAAAGGTTTTAAAATGTGTGAATAGGCCTGTCGCGATAACTAATTTTGCTGGGCGATTAATTGTCTCAGAAATTATTGCGATAAACAATAATATTGTTCGAAATTTGACAATAATTAGTAATTGTCAAATTTAAGAAGAAATGTTGGTTAATTTTTGTGTGTAGTACCTTTTTTGACCACCAGATGACAGTATAAGACTGTTTGAACTGAAGGATGGATAGTGAGGGAGCGAGCAGCGTGTCTCTTTATAAAAAATGGGAGGGAGAACCCTTGACGTGACATGGGCTGTCTCTCGTTCTGGTTTTTCGGTTCTCAAAATGGCGGATGCTCGGTGTGGTTTGAGCTCTTTAGCACAGCATTTGTTACACAAAGCTTTTATTTAAAAACATCAGTAAACAAGTTCCAGCTTCTTTTTGCAGAAAAAAAACTTTTTAGAGGAAGGCACGGGTTTCAAACGTGAATTTTGGAGCTTTGACAAGACAGATTTTTTCCTGAGGTCGGCCTGTTAGCTTAGCTCGTAGCTTAGCTGCTTTTAACGATCCAAAAACTCAATTTTGGACGGTTCAAACAGATTTTAAAGAGAAAATATAAAGGGAAGGGTCAGTGAAGAGCACCAGAGTTGAGCCTTTTGTCCTCCAGTGTCTTCAGTACTGAGAGAAACATGAAGAAACAATAAAGCCGATAAATGAAAATGAGGTTGATAATTTTAATTTATCACGCGATTAATTGATTTATTGTTTATCGCGACAGGCCTATGTGTGAATGCAGCTACAAGAAAAGTCCAAAATATAATTCAACACCATCTTTCTGCTGATATTTGTTTATCCAGCTTCAATGAGCTCTCCTCTGTTTTTATCCTGAGTTTGTAGGTTTGATAGTGGGAGTGGGGACGTGTGGGAGCAAGAGTGACAGTGTATGAAATAATTACACCTGCACGTGTGCGCGCTTGGGTATGTGTGAAGTCCGCCCACCTTATCCAGCAGAGCGTCTCCGGAACGCTGCTGCTCCACACACAGGTGACAAACCCTCGTCATGAGCTCGTACGGGTGCAGGAAGAGGCGTGAACTCAGCAGGAACGTGAACACATATGACCTCTGAAAATGAGGGAATGAAAAGGCTTTCAGAAGAGAACACAAATCCATTAACATTTGCAAAAACACTGTTGCATAACTCTAAATAATTGTTTAGTAGTACTTACATCAGGGTAGTAGTCCACAGTTGGAACCAGGTGCTGGATCAACGCCTCAAGAGAAGCTGAAACCAAACTGTTGTCATGGTAACACATCTCCCCATAGCTGGTAGTGATTCCATGTCCGTAAAGTCGAGCTTTTGTCGAGGCCCCGTTGTTACGACCGGACTGGTCGCTGCCGCAGCTGCTCGTGTGACGGTACGCTCGTCCCGGACAGGAAGTGCTGTGTTGGCGAGGGCTGTGCTGGCGAGGGCTGTGAGGCTGCGGCGAGGAGTACAGGTTATCCGAAATCGTGCAGCTGCTGTTGTAATGATGCTCCTTCCCAGTCACAGATGAGACCGAGGAGCTACGATACGCAGCCTGAGGTTGTGGGACATCGTAGGGGTTTTCTGCTGTCGAATAGGCCCCGTTGTAAATGTTCTCTCTTGAAGGTTTCGGGGCCGTGTTGCTGCGGTACGGACTCTGAGGTTGAGCATGGTTGTTGTTATTGTATGGAGGGCAGGAGTTGAACTTTCCTGCATAAGGAGTTGTAGGGGGCATGATGACCTGTAGAGACACAGATGAGCACTCGAGGGTTGGGAATCTTGAAAGAAATTACCATCTTCTGAACCATTCATCCACAATTTTGATCAGCAATTCAAAAAACAAAACTTGTGAATGTAAAGACTGAGGCACATCTCAAAAGAGAGACGGGGAAACGGTGACCGACTTCCAACATATTTTGCTGTAATCAAGGTTCTTTGAAAACAAACAAAAAAAAAGGTGCTGTTATTTGCCCAGGTCATCCTAATAATGAAGACCAAAACATGTCACAAACTCCTCATCTGGACCATATAACAACAATACCACCCTGTTTAAATGTACATAATTTGTGTCTTTGAAAGTCTGGTCAGTCACGTACCATTAGAACAATTTCACCAGGCATTATTTCTGAAACTCTCAGGAAAACGTCTTTGAAGACTCCTTCATCCAATCATTGATGAAGACGTGATACCAAAAATCTCCTTTAGGTGTTCAACTAGGTAAAGATTTGAGGACTGAGAAAACTTCATCCTACGATCTACATAATTAATGCCTTCTGCTTGAAGATGTACCAGTAACAGTTCTTAGGCTGATTTCCAATTTTCATAAAGCTTTAACCTGCCAAATATGAATTTGGCCAATTTATTTCTAAAACCTACAAATAACAGTGAACAAAATATTTTTAACTTGTGGTTGAATTGAAAGTTTGATTGTGTTCATCATAAAATGTTTACGCAAAAAAAGTCAACATTTTCTGCAAAACAGTGCCAGGTTTTACAAGAAATACCCTCCAGGTTATTGGACAAAGAGCATTTTTTTACATTTGTGTCTCTGTGCGTAATGTTCTCAGTAGGCCTGTCACGATAACAAATTTTGCTGGGCTATTAATTGTCTCAGAATATATTGCAATAAACGATAATATTGTTTGGAATTTGACAATAATTAGCAATTACTGTCAAATTTAAGAAGAAATGTTGGTTAATTTTTTTTGCGTAGTACCTTTATTTGACCACCAGATGGGAGTATAAGGCTGTTTTAACCAAAGGATGGATAGTGAGGGAGAAAGCAAATGTGTCTCTAAGAAAAATGGGAGGAAAGCCCCTTGACGTGACATGGGCCGGCTCTGCTTGCTTTTTTAGGTTCTCAAAATAGCGGCCGCTCGGCATGTTTCGAGTTCTTTAGCATAGCATTTTTCACACAAAGCTGTTTTTTTTTTTTTTTTTTAATCAGTAAACAAGTTCTCAGCTTCTTTTTTCAGAGAAAAACAACTTTTTACACAAAGGCACGGGTTTCAAACATGAATTTCGGAGCTTCGACAATACGGAGGATTTTTCCTGAGATCGGCCTGTTAGCTTAGCTCGTAGCTTCTCAGCTTAGCTGTTTTTAACGATTCGAAAACACAATTTTGTACGGTTAAAACTGATTTTAAAGAAAAAAGAGAAAGGGAGGGATCAGTGAAGAACACCGGAGTTGAGCTTTTGTCATTCAGTGTCTTCAGAAAGAAAGAAACACCGAGAAACAACGAAGCCGATAAATGAAAACGAGGTAGATAATTTTCATTTATCATGCGATTAATTGATTTATTGTTTATCGCGACAGGCCTAGTTCTCAGTCTCATTTATTGAACTATGAGCAAAAAATAATAATAATAATCAGTGAGACGTTAAGGAAACAAAGTTTGAATTGTTCAATGAAGTTCCCTCAATATATTTGTTTTCTTTCCTTCAGAGCCCTCATATTGCTTTTCTTAGCCAACCAACCATCCAAAACCAAAAACTGATGTTTGAATTAAGTCGGGTTTTTTTTAGGTGCTGACATAAATTATAGGATGATGATAAAAACTTTATGCTTCATGGTTATAATGATATGTTCCAAAACATTCAATGTCAGTGCTCATGACTATTCTTCTGCAAATGTCTCCTGTAGTTTTACAGATTTCCTGCTAATACTCTGTCAGCCCACCTCATTCCCTGGGAATCTGGCTGATGTTTAAACTGCAATTGGGAAAGTATCTGTTTGAGCAACTCTGTCACACAAAGCAAAGACTTAAGTGTCTGTGACAGTAATCACACTTGATCATATAATTTTAGCCTTCCTCTGTTTATTATTTTGGGCTAGCAACATTAGAAAGATGTATCCAACTCAAACAAGCCCATTTGTTGAGTAAATGTCTACAAATCAGCTTAAAAGGTGCAGATTTTTCTGCTGCCCTCACTTTACTTCACCCATTGTCACATTCTTGAAATTCACTTGTTGGCAGCAGTGCAGCATGCGCGGGGTTAAAAAAACAGGATGACAGATGGATGATCTCAAGTCGGCAACGATTTTCCGTCTTAATGGTAAAGATAATTGGATCTGAGGTCCGTAAGCTGATCCTGGGTCGCCACCAAAGTGTGCTTTAACCCTGGAGCCATCTTTATCCTGCTACTGTTGTCTGTCTGTGCAACACATGCACACGCATACAGTGACATATGCATAAGCATATACAGAAAACACCCCCACAGGAATCCAGCAGACTTTTGTTTGTCCATTACAGTGCCAACAGAGGAGTGTCTGCCTCAGCCAACATCTTACACACATACACACACCCTTGTCCACCATGGCGCCGAGCCTCATACCATTATAATCCAAACTTACATACACATGTCACACATAAACATAAGATGGCTGGGGCAACGCAAACACACGCACACATACACACAACACAAGCATATACCACAGCTTTTGGCATCTTGCCTGAGTAAGCCAGTCCAACTCTGAACTCTATGATCTCAGCCTGCTGTTCTCCTTTTAACTCTTAAAAGATCACAGGATCTTTACCTAACTTTAAAAAAACAAAACACTCAAATGTGGACAAGTTGAGATAAGAACCCAGTGAGTAGTATTTTTTATAGTTTGGCTGTCTTCTCTGTTTCTATTTGAAATAAAAGCAAAAGAAAACATATCTCAGAACCCAAAACCAATCGTGATTTTTCCAGACTGACTTCCTGAATAGTTGACCCTTTGGACCACGTTGTGGCTTCCATGCTGCAGCACTGAAATTGTACTCGTTCTAAATCACGGATTGGACTCCCTTCTGGATGGACGAAAAACGGCACCAAGAGCACAAACTCACATAAGAAGAACTGTTTACATTCTCCTGCTTGTAAACTTTGAAAACCTTTGAAAAACGCCTCGCACAGACGTTTGATATGGTTTTACAGACACAATAAAAAGGCCAAAATGTAAAACAAACCCCTTCTTGCTCTTGCACTCAAAGTATTTTGAACAACTATGTTTTAGATGTTTTGTTCTTTGACCATACATCTTTAAGGCAGACATTCAGCGTGGTGTTAAAAGGTAGATTAAGCGTTGCTGAGGCCAACAGGCTGGTGGGGGTTCTTCAACAATGGAGGTATTATCTCTCCTGTCATGGCATTAACAAACACACAAAGACCTCCAGGAAGAGATCAGAGCAGATCGGACGTACACAGCAACTTTCACACACTCTGTTCGTAGCTGCTGTCATAAAGTGTGACACCCTGGCTCTAAAGGAGCCCAGACTGAGCTCATTCTCGTGTCAAACAAGTAAAGCAGACTTTCTGGTTCTTCTGAAAGGTACAAACTCCTATTATAGATCAGTTTCTGTGAGGTCAATAGTCTTAATCCACTCTTTTATTTATAGGTGCAAATATATATTTTTTTAAAAAGTATGTGGCATTTGAAAAGGAACATCTTCAGGCTAGTATGTTGCCTAAGTAGATGCTATGCATGTGACTCAAGGGACAGCAGCAACTTAAAGAGAAATGTCCAATAAGTTCTAGAGGGGTTTGGTGTACCAAAGGTTAACACAAAGTGGACACTTGAAAAGCTGTTCAGAGCCAAAGGAACTGCCTGCTTCTGATAAGAGGAGCCATAAAACAATTTGTTGGAGTAGAAATGCGGCAATGCAGTGCAGTCTACTTTGCACCTGATGTACTTTGGCACTGAAAGTTGCAGGAGGTACAGGGGTCGTGCGAGTAAGAAATGCGTTCTGACCTGACGGCAACTCCTCACATTTATGTCTAGTGGTTCTGATGTACAAATATTTTTCAACTCAATTTAACCGATATAAATTTTGCAAACTGGTCGAACATCTTTGATCACAATCAACTCAGCTGAAACTCCGAAACTCATTTAGCCATTTCAGTTTCAGCTGATAGTTGTGTAACAGCCACTAATGGAGAGATAAAACACTGTTACTACATGCTGATACATTTTACAAAGATCTTTATGAAATTGTGTTGATATACTTTGGTCAAACGTTCAAATATATGTAATTTTACACAGACAAAGTTACAGTTTTTCCTAATACTTCTTCGTTATAGTCAACAAAAGATTCGCATGAAACTAAAGATGAATTTTAAATAAAAAAAAAAGTAGAAAAACCTCAGAAAGAGAATCTTTTTAAAACTTCTGCTCATCTTCTCTTACATCTTACAATATAAATCCCTGTTTATGCGGGCAAATCTTTGAATATTTTCTTTCCTACCAAAACTGGTGCAATACACAAGATTAGAGGTCAAAACCAAACTCACAAACGGAAGTATAAAACTGGTTTTGCATGCTTTTCTCGTCATGCAACAAATACCCCTCTTTAAAACGGAGTAGAAAAAATCTGAAAGCCACAGTAACTTTCCAACGCCTCTAAATCTTAGGGACTTTTATCTGACCAAGGCAGAAACAAGTCATCTCAACTAAATGCATAGATAGTAAATAAAAAAGATCACCTATATCTATCAATACCCATCTTTGAGGTCTGTTTTTACTAATCTTTATTTATACGACCCTCTGAACACTCGCAGTCGCTCCATCACCAGATTTCGTACGTCATCCAGCAAAGAGCCCGGCTAAAGTAGGAGTAAAACAGCACAGGGCATAAACAAAGGCTTGAAGAAAGGTCACACGAGGCCTGCAGCCTCTTTCAAAGCACCAGAACTCAGGACAACCTTGTTTAAACAGATGCACCTAAATCTGATAAGCAGAGACAGACAATGCGCTCAAACATGCATTTTCTTGTATGAGACTTCCTCACAGTCGCAGGTAATAACACGAACATCATTTGGGAGGCTAGGCAGTATTAACCCAGAGCCAGGAAAGATGAACAAGACCTGCTGCAAGGAAATAATCAACCAAAGCTTGTAACAGAATACTCAAACTTTCAGCAAAAATAATAATAATAATTTGATTATTCTTAGACCAGTTCTACTCTTGATTGTCTCTGTACCTGAGCCCAGCAATTTATTAGGGTTTTATTTTAAGCAGCAAATTGGAAAGTGCTTGAAGCTGGCACTGGCTAGGTGTGTGGAGGGACACACTTTCTCAAACTCTTTCTTCTTTTCCTCACACACACACACACAAAATCTGTTCTCTCACACACACACAGCAGAACACACCGCCTGTTCTGCATTACGGGCTTCAAACTGAGTCATAAGAGTAAAAAGTAAAGGCTGAGTGTGTGAAGGAGCCATGCTGTGCACACAGGTGCTGCTGACTAATGTTTGCTCCTGTCCGACTGCCAGCCTAATTATAAACTCACATGACGGGTGGTAAACAATAACAACAACAACACATCTTAGGGAAGGGAGAAATTAAATGCTGGGGAGAGGATGAACTTTGCATTTGTCATTTAAATATCACAACGCTTACTTTGGGCTAAACATGAACTGTTGGGTAAGCTAGCTAGCTATATTTATGCTGTAATTTTCGGGGATAGTGATATTTTCTGTCTATTTTGTGATAATTAATATATAAAATAAAGTATAAGACGATTCGAGGAACATCATAAATTATCTTGATATAAAATACACTTACAAATATTAAGTAGTTTCAGCAAGAACTGGAAGAAATCGTAAACAACTTACCTCGTTTTGTTGTGGCGGTGAAAGTCCAGATAAAAATCGATTTAACTGACTGAAACAAGACTATTTAAACTATCTGTAATGTTCTTTTTTTTTTTTTACTTCCAGGGAGCAAATAGATTCATCAGCAGTGTGTCCGTGCAGAAGTCTCGTCCATTGTTTGCGTCTCCTCTCCTGCCTTTCGAGTCATATATTTGAACCAGCAGAGCAAAGCCGAGCGTATTCAAATGACTTTCATAGAGCCGGGAAAGTTGACCAATCAGCACACGGGGGCGGGACTTTTCCCTGGAGACATGGACCAATCGTTGGAGAGAAGTGAAAAAAATCGAATCTACAAGGCTTCTGATTGGCTGTCTCGCTCTGGGTTCGGTTCTCTCTCTTGTTTTCAGAGCACAACCAGAGGAGCCGGTGTTTTTTCTGGAGAGCTAAAATATGGAAGGTGTAAGGTTTCCCCCCAGGAATGTGTTTGAGTGTGTGGTTGCATGTTGTTCTCAGTGACTTACAAGTCAAGAGGCTGTGAGAGTAACAGGATTTAAGTTGTACTTATCCACTTTTATAAGTTTAAGTTAGCCCCTCATTTGTTGTAAAAAAGTTACACAAAATTCAAGCTAGAGTGCAAAAAGATGCATAACAGGTTTTTAAGGGGTTGTAGAATCACATAAATTATTCAAACTGAAGTCCCTCCCTATCAATTTTTCTGCATTTTTTTCTATCCCTCCAAGAAATGGTACTCATTGCAAACTGAAAACTATAAAAATGTGTTATCCTGAGCTAAATCCAATGCTGCAGTTTGAAAGAGTTCACCCCAGTTTTCCAAATAAATTGCAATTCATTCAACCTTTATTTATACAGGTTAATCCCATTGAGCCTCGGGGACTCATTTACTTTGTACAAGAGAGACCTGAATTTTTTAACAAAGAGTGATGACAACAGTGGACGACAACAATAAAAGATGCATACAAATTATATATTTTTAACAAGTTAAAATAAAATGGCAACCAAAAAGACAATCAAAAGGAAAAGCAGCGACGCAATTCAGAATGCAGGTCCACACTCAAAGTACTTTTATCTGTGTATATTACTCGACTGAGCCTATATCAAAAGCATTCAAATTGTTATATGTCTCCACCCCAAACCACTTTTTCATGAACCTTACCATTATTGTGCTATTTTACAACTTTTTGCATATGGCATTTTACAAAGCTTCATACATTTTCTGTCATTTACATTTAATTTCTATTTAGAAAATCACTTTGCTCACAGTCTGGCTCTTATTGATGTTTTATATATATATATCTTTAGTTGCATATATTTATATTTAGTGGTACATTTCTGTGCTTGAGTCTTGTCTGCCATCACATGTAAGTGGAGTAACCATTAAAGAGGACTGGATATGCTTACAGCCCTGTAGTTCCCAGGACTCCGCCAAACTTAGCACAACAGATCCTTATTTATCCTAAAGTAGTCCTTTATGCAACCCTGTAAGTTCACACACTATACTGAAAAAGCATAAAATATCAGCAGACCATTTGACGCCAGTTCAGGCTCAGCTGAAAAAAAGTGGTAAAATCAGGATAAACTAAATTCACTCAAAATGAATGAAAATAACCAAACATAGCCTGTGATTGCACCACATGACCCCAAATGAATGCCAGCAAGCTGCATTATTAGCTTCCCAAAATATCCACAATGTGTTGTATTGTGCTGTACCTTGAACTTGGAACAGAAACTCTAATAACACAACACCATAATCTTCAGAGTCTTCAGAATCATTTGATGATATTTTTATATTACCGTCTTATTTTGAAACCTTGACTGCATTTAATGAGACCACAATTAAAGACAAGCTGTTATTTGTCTACTTTTCAATAGTTCAGTTCTGTTTTAGTTTCCATAAATACAAATTAATAAAAGTAAAACGTGCAAGCTCGTGCATCTAGATGTGCTGTATAACAACACCCTGAGTGTACTGATTAAAGGTTTGATGTTTATTTTATCGTCTTATTGTGTGGTAGTGAAGTTTAAAATAGGATTAATTAGTTGGTGGTGGTAAACTACAAAATAAAGCGGTTTTAGTGGGTTTGCAATGTATCAAAGTGTAGTATGGTTTTATTTAATTTTAATGACTCTTCAACAACATATTCGTTTAAAGTCACAAACGCCAACGTTGCAGCTCAAGCCATTAAATTGTACCTGATTATGTGTAAATGTGTGATCAGAGTTGTTGACTCTCGGTGGTTGTATAATCCCCTTCTCCTGAGGGTTTTTAAAGGATTTCACCAGCCTGCAAGTTGAAAAACATTACTCAACTCACGGCACAAAGTTAAGCAAAAATTAAAGGATTATAACTACATTTCAAAATATAAATTCTTAGTAGGCCTGGTGAAGGAGACTGTCAAGGACAAGTTCCATTTTTTTTTACTTTTTCAGACACATCTCATTTTATTTTCTAAATATTTAGAATGTACAAAAATATTTATACAAAGCTCCCTCCAACTGTCTGATTTCACTTGAAATATGGCAATTAAAGCTAGGTGGGTGCGCATTCCCGCCCCCCTGGGTTACCACATCACTGCTGCCATCCACCTCACCCAGTCAAATCCTTTTTCTTTCTTTCTTGCATAAACACCAAATTACATAAACAGTGCTTTAGATTTGCAGCATAGAGTCCTGAGGTTGTGGGCGGCGCTCCATTTTTTATATTTTTTTTTTTTTGATCACTGACGCCTCTTACATTCTGACACATCACCGTTCAGGCAAGAATAGCTGATTTCTGACTCGCTCAGGCTGCGGGGTCTGTCGTTTCAGTAATCCAACTCCTACACGCCTACACTGTGACACCCCTGCACACAGCTTCCGGTAGCGGTCATCTATTCATGGATGCATAAGTGCACTGAGATAAAAGTACTCCCATGTACGCAAACATATGTAAATACATGCATGTTCCTTTGGTGGTAGTTGGCCTTTCAGGGGGCTCTACAAAGGCTGACTTTACCACTGAATATGACTCAAAATGATGTTATGAGGACTTCATGATACAGAATCAAATATAATCAAACATATATGTGATTATTAGACCCAACTATGATTGCCTAAAGCAGGGGTGTCCAAACGTTTTCATATGTGGGCCAAAAGTATCCAAATGTAAGGACTCGTGGGCCACAAAAATGTAAACTTAACGCTCAACGTGAACAATACTTTAGAGAAAGGGCAAAAGTTTACTAATTTTGTTGGAGAAAGAGTTTTAAATTGTTGTAGATCCAAAATATTAAAAGCCTCTTAAACACTAAGCTTGTTTTTTTATTTATTTATTATTATTTAAAAGGATTTGATTTATTTGATTTGTTGGGTCTAAAGCTCATTTTAGTCTGTTCTCAGCAACAAAACCGTAACACGAATGTCTTTTAAAAAGGGTCGATCAGCCTTTTGGACTATGGACGGCCAAAAAGGCTGATTAAAGTTCAGGAAAATCGTCCAGCTGACGGACGCTACAATGCATTTAAAGAAGTTTTGATAAAGTTAATCAACTCGTATGTAGATGATACTATGTTATATTAATTTAAAAATGTCCAATTTCCCTCTTGATTATTTTATCAACTGCAATATTTAACCAAGTTTTATGAATCATTATCCAAAAAATTCCTTTCTGGTAGGAATAAATAAAGGTTTTTGGTGCTTTGTACCATGAAGTGAAAATAAAAATATTATAGCCGAAGGTTTCCGTTTTGTTTAATATTGCTCATTTTGAAAATATTATTTTTCATTTGTTTTGATGTTAAACCTAAATATTATATATAAAAAAGATTATCAACTAATTTGCAGATAGTCTGAATCAACCTCTTAAGCCTGCTGCCCAAAATTATACCGTCCTTAAAGTGAAGTTGTGGGCCGCACACAATCACTCCAAGGGCCGCAAATGGCCCTCGGGCCACACTTTGGACACCCGTGCCCTAAAGGGTGCAGGGTCACTGTAAAAATGGCTTTAAGAATTATGTCAGTATTTTACAGTAAGCTGATTGTGGTTTCAAAATACTTTACTGCACTGCGAACAAAATAAATTACATCCACAGCTCTGGTTGGATGCTGCAAACGCTGGTTTATAAACCTTTACACCACAAAACTATTTTATTTCATTGGTGTTCTGGCAGAAATAATGTGATACTCCTGCTGGGTGTGCCCCAGGCTGCAGCAGAGGCTACCTGCTCCAGCTGCTTTTTATTTTGTCTTGAAAATAACCATTTCTTTGTGAATAGCTGTATTATGCAATACAGGTGGCTATGCGAGAGTTTGTAAAACGGTGCTCACTTGAACTTTTGAATGTGGTGTTGCCTTAAGATGTCAGAAATCCAGTTTGGCTTTGGCCTGTTCAGACGTTAGCTTGTCCAGCCGGTCAGAATTAAACTCCAAACTCAGGTTTCTTCAAGGTCGCTGAAAGAGCTTTCTACAATAGGTAATATATTAAATCTTCATAACCAGAGTCCCAATATAATAAAATGTTGATCTTTTTACAAAAATGTTAAAAAGAAAACGGTTGTTCTACTGGTGCTATTTAAACACTGCTCAATGCTAACCAAAAAGAAGTGTTGAAATGAAAAAATGAAATCAACAGCAAATAAAAATACACGTTGGCATGCTTCTGTTTTTATAGTTCAGTAATTTATAGAGCACTGTGGGGGTGTTTTGTATAAACCATGCAAGTTGTTTAGCAACTATCAAAACCCAGCCAAGTAATGATTATCTTATGCCTACGTCTTGTACACAAATCCTACTCGCATGTAATAAACTGCCAAGTCTACCATGGTGTGTTCATGTTACTCCCAAAAGGTTGTAAACAGAGATTTTTGACATTTGGGAGGATTTGGACCTTATATGCTTTAACATCATGAAGCACAACAAACCCAGAGACTGTGGGAGACAGTGAGTGAAAGCCGAACTAAACCGTGAATCAAATCAAAATAAAATGCAAAAATAATGTTACGACTAAAAAGTTTAACTGGATTTAAACTTTAGCACCCTGGGTAAAAGCTTGTGTTTGATGTAAAGTGTACCAAGAAGAGCTTTGTCTTCTTTGCTGAAGGTGAAGGTATGAACATCTGATTAACATTTCAGGTCAAACCAGTTCAAGATGGCTGCCATTGATAACTGACTTTAGAATACACAAAATTGGTAATAATAACCAAAATAACTGGGTGTGGTAG